GCTAGGGGGTGCTGCAGGTCCCCCTAGGATAGCCATAGCACCCCCAAGAAATGTATGTCTTTTTTATTTTTATGTGTGAAATTCCTAATTTGAAAAATGATTGATTCGAAAATAATATGCTACAGTACAGTACAAGTACGTCTAGGTCTCTGTGTTTCATTCAAGCTCGGCTGTGTGTGTGTGTGGAACGAGCCATTTTGTGTGCGTGCGTGCGTGCGCGCGCGCGCGAGCGAGCGAGCGAGAGAGAGAGAGAGAGAGAGAGCCGGTACCGGAGCTCTCTCTCTCTCTCGCCTGTCAGACTGAGAGGCTCTGATAACCTCAGCTCAGTGAGGTAAAGGACTCTCTCAGTGTTTAGATTACCCACTGAGATTAGTTATCTCAGTGGGTCTCAAACGGTTTGGTCACGATTAATGTAAACAATTATTTCCGAGGCACACGTTTATATGATCATTATAGGTATAAAAAAATAAGAGAATAAATGAAAAATAGTTATGAAATACTATGACAGTAAAACAAGAATACAGTTTAAAAGGAGAGTGATTTGTAAAACATCCATAAAGAAAAAGTAAATCTGTTTACAGTTCTGTTTCAAATGGGTGTTGAGTGATGTATCCATAGATCTCTTCATTTTGCTCTCAAAGTGCACCAGATTGATGCATTTAACTTCAATATATAAAAAAAAGTCTTCCCGGGGGAGCATGCCCCCGGACACCCCTAGAGGAGGTTAGGTCCACTCCCCACTTATAAAAATAGCACTTTACCCCTGCTTACACCTATATGCCGTGAGCTGATTATCGAGCCTTCATTGTAACAGTCGCGGGTACACTGTGTATTTGCGTGGGGAGTGTTGCAGTAGAAAATTCAACTGTAGCGACCGGTACATTAATGGGAAACCCTAAATGTTTGAGCACCCTCTATGAAACGTCAAGCTACCCCACAGCACCCCCAAAATAAATCTCTGGCGCCGCCACTGAGCCTGCAACCCCGTTTTGAAGAAATGTACAGTGCAAAACAGGCTCATTGCAGCCACTAATGCTGTGATAAGACACACTTTCTTGCCAAATATCAGCATTTTCTTTCTTTTCATTTTTTTGCACAGATTGCAAAGTGGCAAAGTATTATAACTTATTGTTCTAGCAAAGGGATTGCACAATTGTATTTATTTTTTTGAGCACACAGACTTATGGAGCATTGTTTTATTATCACTGTTCTAGCAAAGTGATTTTTTAATTTTTTTGAAAGGAATGCTCACGTTCATATTGATGTATTTTAATAAATGTTAACTTGGCCCATTACGTGACTATTTGTGTTGGGGGGGCCCGACTTTTTTTTTTCTCCTGACGGAAATGTTGAGACCCACTGACTTAATGCAATGGGATTTTGCCATTGGATTTTAAAACATAGCAGAAAATAAGGATTATGACAAACAGGCGCTTATGACACTTGCACGTTTTATTCAGCAGGATAATCTACACATATTTACACCACTCATGATTTTAAATGCAATCTCCAGAAGTAAAAAGCTAACGTGACGCTATAAACAAACTACACCAGTCATTTAGCTGCCCATCACTAAGCTAAAGGCGGACTTGTGTTGAGCGTGATGACGTTTAGTATTCTCATTTAGTCACTTGTGATATTTACTGACATATTTTATGTCGCAGAACAACATCTTATCACTTAAGCTTGTGTTAACCGCAAACCATAATTCAGGCATCTAACCAAAAACCTGTTAAAAACACTAGAACTCATTTCCGGGTTTTAGGACTCATTCCTGCACCACTCTATGGAAAGCAAGCATCCTCCCTGGCCTAGGACGGGAGGGCTCTGCATTGGTGGATTCAATACAACGGCAAAGAAGGCAATGTCTACATCAACATTCATCCTGGTGATGTAGCAGCACACGTAGTGCCAGAACACTTACAGAGCTCTTCGAGGCTTTGTTTGGCTATATTTTGACACAGACACAGCACTTTAGGTCACACACACAGAGACACACACAAATCGGAACAGCTGGATTAGTATGGACAAATGCAGTGTCCGTGGCCCTTAACTCCTAAAGCTGCACATGATGTAAATGACAAAAGGGATCATATCCTGCTGCAGGGGAGCCAGATGTTCCATGCTCTTACAACAAAGGCTCGAAATGAAGGCTTAATAAAGACTTGGGATACATTTGTACTGATACAATTACATTTGAGGTAAATGCTTCTCAGCAATTTAAATGCATTTGTTAAATGTTCCTTCACATTTCACTATGATAATACATAGCTTATTACTGCGTGTTTAAAGGCATTGGTCTTTTGACTAATTGCAAATAAAGACTAAAAGGATTGAGACTGATTTAACAAGCAAATGGGAAATTGAATTTTTTTCATATCGCCTTCTCTTGAAGATGTTCTGGGACGAGAATCGCGTTTCCACTGCATGGTAATAGCTCTAATGGACTCATTCGCTTTGCTCTTTTTTTATCCACTACAGGATAGTGCCAGAGGCCTGTACTACGAAGCCGGATTTTGGCTTAGCGAGCTAACTTCAGGGAAAACTCTGGATTTCCGGTCCTACGACGCTGGTTCACTTCTTAGCGGGCTAGATCTCCACGGTAACTTATGCTGAACGGCTAGCCTGCTCCGGAGCAGGTTTGGTTCCAGGATAAGAGATCAACTCAGTGAAAGCACCGCCTGCTGACCAATCAGAGCTCAGTGTGCGGAGTTTAAAGTGATCAAGTCATATTACAGGAGAAAGGAAATACAGTTTAAACTGCCGTTGCAGGAAAGACGGCCGGCAAAAATCAACTGACTGTGTGAACGTGAAAATGAATAGAATATCCCATCTTCAGAGCAATCTGACTATTATAACATTAGCGTTAAGAAAGCTTACTTAAATATCTGCCACAACATAAGTAACCAGATCAAAGTAACATTACGTACAGTCCGTGGCACTGTGAGTGCAGACGTCGATGTGTGCCATTATCATTCATATCACATCATAATGTATCATATATTTCCTTATTTGAGTCAGCTTCTTGAGCCGTATCTGTCCGTGCAACACTCAGTGTCACATACTGTATGCAGAAGTATTATTTTAAGCAACACATTAAGTTGACGAAACACTCGAGTCAAATGTAATTAAAGTCAGATCCACTCGTGTCTTAGACGGGGCAGTGATATCATAAACCTGTTAATGTACGCATTCAAACACTTTTTCTGTTACCAGCTGTATTCACCTTGCAGGTGCAGCTATGTGGCTTTTATCCTGGATAAAGTGTTTAAGTCATGGATGTTTAAAGTTTAACGTCTTCATATTTGTCTAATATTATAGTTGACTTTTCATTCAGGAAGTATGACGCGCTGCGCTGTCCACCCCTTTCATGTGAACGCGCACCTAACTAGATAGGACACGGCTGGCTTGGGTGATCCACTTGATAACCCCCGTCGTAGGACCGCTTAGCGAGAGCGCGTATGTTTTGGATTAGGCCAACCGGCTAACTCAAACATATCCAGGTTATGTTGAACCGGCTTCGTCGTACTGGCCTCTGGTCCTTTTTTTAGAACAACCTCAGTCGAGTTTCCAAGCGAACTCGGACGATTTTATGAGAGACGTAAAAAACCTGCAGACCACAGAATGTTCAGAGTTGCCACTTGAGTGTCACGTGACTTTAGGTCTTTAAATAGCAAAAACAAAAAAAATGTATATACATATATACAACTTTAAATGGACAAATTCAGGGCATCGATATCAGACAAGTGAGTTTATATTATATTAAGGCAAACAAATACTGTTATGATTATTGTAGCTGTTGAAAAGCAATATTGGTATCAGTATGTCTGTGAAGCCCAGAGACAGATCCGTCCTCCAAACTGTCCCATTAAGACTCACAACAACTGACCTCTCACACACACCGCGCCCATGTCAGCCCTGACAGAGGACATGCCATTCACAGAGGACGCTCCATGGTCAAACTGTAGATACACACTGCTGTTACACCTGTCATTTGGTTTGGGAATTGGCACTTTTATAGCTTTATTATAGTAATCTAACTTATTTTGATAACAAAAGGGCAATGAGAACAACAGTGTGACAAACTATTGGCTACTACTTCTGTAACAAATAATCTAAATAAAGATCAAGGTGTCCACAATAGAAGAAGTGGAGGAGGCTTGTAGAAGAGATCAATAAAGTCCCTATCACATGAGAAGTGCTTTGTCTCTCATGGATCGGTTTTATGCTGTAAAGTATCCCATATGGTTTATAACAGCTGAGAACTCGTGTTTCATTATGATCCTGTATGTGTAGACATGCGGGGCCCCCTTTACATACCACTTTCTTATGTAGCCTTCATATTCTATGCATGTGCTCTTATCGGGGACATAACAGGTCGCTGCTAACAGGCTAACGCTACATCAGCTTTCAGCAGTTTAAAAACATGTAAAAGATTGCTCAATATAACCCGATTACGCCAGTTGTCCTAACAACATCGATTTAAATCCCATAGGGTTGAAGTAATGCAACAATAGGTGATGTTAGCTGCGAGGTTTAGTGAAACAATGATTAGCTACGATGCTAACTAATCACAAACAGACACATAAGGTCCTCCGTACAGACAGTCCAGCGCACGCGCGCGCGCACACACACACACACACACACACACACACACACACACACACACACACACACACACACACACACACACACACACACACACACACACACACACACACACACACACACACACACACACACACACACACACACACACACACACACACACACACGTTTTCATCTACCTCGGCCTCGGCTCTGTTAGCTGTACCAGATTAACGGTGTCTAAATATGTCACTGAATCCAACACACGTACAGTACCCTCATGTTCAGTTCCCGTTACTGTCGAAAACGACACTTGGTCGTGATAACAGCGAGGAGAGGGGAAGCTACATAAGGCAACACATTGGCAGTAGAGGTGGTAACGTTAGTTAAAGCAGTGTGTGATGTTAACTTACTCACTGGCTGCGGCGCAGAAAAGGTATCCACAGCGTCGGGGCTGTTAGCATTGTACTGTTAGCAGCATATTAGCATTACACTCAGCTGGCCGGAAGTGTCAGCGCAGCCGCAACACACTAACACCTTCAAAATAAAATAAAATCTTCAAATCTGGTTTATATACTTGTCTTTCTCTTGATGATATGCCATGTTTTAATCAGGATTTTAAAACAGTTACTTATAACCCATCAAAGACATATGTACATAAACACACTTTATATTAAAGATTAGCCTATTAAAAACAGGTCAAGTCACTGATAATCTAGCTACATAACCCCCAATGGTAAAAAATGATTGTAAAGACTTATTCTTTAACTTAGTTATTTTATTGAGAATATTCCAGTAATAGTAGTGTTAACAGTCATTTGTGAAATACCATACACGTTTACAGTTTGTAGGAAAAACAATGCCAGCTTGACAAACAGAGAAATGCAGCAATACAATAGACAAGTATGTCGTCCGCATATAGATTAATTTACCGGGTGACAATAGCCGCTTTCACACCAAGTACTTTGCCGTACTTAGTTCCCAGCACTTAGTTCCCAGCACTTATGGCGCATTTCCATTGCAGGGCCTCGCTCGGCTTAGTACGGTATAGTTAGGCCTTGTTAGGCCTTGTTAGGACTGGCTCACTTGCTGCGTTTCCATTACAGTTTAGTAGCTGGGGCAGTAACTATAGTAACGCAGTGTAGGCGGAGCCGTGACGTCATCTTCAATGTGAATCACAGAAAAACAACATCAGCCGTTAGCTGTTAGCACTCAAGCTCACAGCTCCTCATATCTGTTCAGAAACTAGACAAAAGTTAAACAAGTACAAACCACAGACTGTCTGTGTCATGGCGAATACAGTCGCTGGTTTATTTATTTTTATTTATTTCTTCTTCGGTTTAAGCGTACCGTGCCGTGCCCGGCCCGTTTTTGGTTGCGTTTCCACTAGGCGTAGTTCCGGCTAGCGGCTACTTTTTCACAGTTTTCTGGCTCTCCAAAATTGAGGTTCTTTCCGGGCCAACAACCGGGCTGAGTATGCTAAACTAGTGAGAGAATCGCTGGCAACTACAACAAAATTAACATATTTTACCGTGATTTAAAAATACACGTTTCAAAATGATGCCGAAGTAACAACATACTGATACCGGTTAGTAAAAACCATGAATTAATGCTTTGACAAGTCTGCAGACAAGACGGTAGGCGAAAACCTTTTAAAATGCGTGTTTTCTGAATGGAGATCGGCTAAGCTAACGTTGTATATGCTCCGACCGTCCACACTCACAACAACGGCCTATACAGACATAAATAAACCAGCGACTGTATTCACCATGACACAGACAGTCTGTGGTTTGTACTTGTTTAACTTTTGTCTAGTTTCTGAACAGATATGAGGAGCTGTGAGCTCTGAGGGCTAATAGCTAACGGCTGATGTTGGTTTTGTGTTTCGCATTGAAGATGACGTCACGGCTCCGTCTACACTGCGTTACTATAGTTACTACCCCAGTTCCTAAACTGTAATGGAAACGCAGCATAAAGTGAGCCTGGCCTACCAAGGCCTAACTATACCGTACTAAGCCGTGCGAGGCCCTGCAGTGGAAATGCGCCATAAATTCTCTTTTTGGTGTGAACGCAAAATCCCAGGAACTATCGGAACTAAAAGGGAAAAGTACAGGGAAAAGTACTCCGGTGTGAAAGCGCCTAATATGATTTATATAAATGGTGGGAAAAAAGGACAGGGCCCAGGATTAATCCCTGTGGTACACCTTTTGCAATGGGCAAGACCTCTCACTAGGCATTCCCGTTTTTGTATACCCTGAAGTCTCCCTGTTGAGTTGTTTGTGAGTGGATACTTTATAATTTACAACAAATGTAATCGGTGAGATAGTGCTTTGCATTAAACCAGTGTATCTAACTACAAAACCCCAATTGGACTTGAAGTGAAACACTTATTCCTTTAATTTGTGATTTCATTAAGAGTAGTCCAGTAATAGCAGTTTACAGTAATTTGTGCAATATGATAAGCGTGTACTGTAAAACAATGCCAGCTTGTCAGAAGGAGAGCAATGCAGCATTTGTTTACCGACTGATAGAATTGCACATTCATATTGACTTTTGGTTTATGTCAACAATGAGATGGCGTAGGGGAAGTTCACCAGTGTGCAGGTTGCACACCAACCACACCAGCTTTCTCCCCAGGTGCAGCTCCAGCTTTCGCATTACCCCAGCTTTCACACCAGTGTTGACATTAGTTGAGTCTCCTCCAATGGCCGATAAGGTCTTATCAAAACCCCTTTCTTTCAGCCAGGCAAACTGGAACTTAGCAATCTGCTCAGCATGTGAGTCCTCTTTAGTTGCTTTCTCTGGGGTAAAGTGGAACAGATAGTTGCTGCCAGGCTCACTAGCAACACTATAGTGTTCTTCTTTGATCTTTGCAGGAAAAGATTGGTCACTGCCCTCAGCTTCCATCATCACATTTGTCAGGTCAATCCGCCCATCAAAGAGGATGCAGGAGATCCCCCCCATCTCCCTGCACTTCTCCTCAAACTCTTCTCCCAGCTCTCTCATCAACTTTTCCTGTGCTCTCTTGACCTTGTTCTTATCAATCACTTTACTTGTGTTGTCTTCTGTGATGATTCCTGCATCAATCAGAGCTACAGTTGCTATCGCTGCAGTTGGTCTGAGCCCTATGCCATACCTTACACTAGCAAGCGCAATATTTGGAATATCATCATAGTTTTTCTGTCCTTTTGTTGAAGCTGCAGGCTCAGGTTCAGTTTCAGGGAAGAGCTCAATTTCAGGGACAAACTCATCTTCAGCACCACTCTCCAATTCCAGATCCTCATCACCATCTGCCAAAAATCTCTCAACATCCTTCCTGGCTGCCTTGTCTGCTGCTGCAGCATTTCCCTCCTTGCTCCTTCTCCTTTCCTCAGCCATGTTTTCCATCCCCTGCCTTTTCAATGTCCTCACCTGTCTCTTGTGCTCCTGCAGATCAGGGGCCCCCATTTGGTGGGGTCCTTTACTTCCAACCTTCTCTTTTTGTCTCTTTATGTATGCAAGATCTCTAAGAGGAATCCTTTTGTCTCTGCTGAAGGAACAGTTAATGTGGACTTGGATCACACAGCCATCACAGCCTCCCCCCTCACAACTGGTAATCCGACACTTGCAAGTCAAAATATCAAATAATTGGTCTAACTTGACACTGAACCTTTCTTTGGCATCAAGTTTGCCCTTCCCAAGGGAAAACTTCACTGCCTGATTCCAGACCTCCTTGAGCTTGGACATGATGGTCACCTTTTCATTTATAACAGGTGGCTTGAAAAGAGCATTCGCTTTGCTCCACTGACCAATCAGACCAGGGAAGATATCACCCACCAGCTGGTCCACTGGGTAGTTCCTCCTATCATATTTACTTTGATCCCTCAAGTAGATGCCATACCTCAGGATATCCCTCACAGTTGGCAGTTCAGACACCAACAGCTCTCGCCCATTGCCAACAAGATTACTCAAATGAGAAGTAGATTTTGCCCTTGTTTTGACTTGAGCCATTTCAACTAGTTCACACTGAAAACACTGATACACAATTAAGTTTCATTTCCTGTAAGTTTCACTTCAGACAGGAACATAAAAGCCCTGACTTCAAAATAAAAGCCCTGACTTCAAAAATAAAAGCCCCCCAATTTAGTCTCTTTTTTCCAGAAGAATAGCAAAATAATCAAAAGATAGATAATATTCAACTGCAAATTGATGTAGGTTAGGTTTATCAGAATTGAAAAATGTCTTCAGATTTGTATTCTACACGCCAAAATACGTTATTTTACCACCCCGCTCGATCGATTTACAAAAGAAAAATAGTATGGCCCGCCCTAATCTACCAGCCACTGGGATCCGTTGGGTTTTTTGGTTGGAATCCGCTGGGTGGAGTCCTATCTGGAGTGCTACATCTGTACATGTGCTACCAAGCAAGCCTCCTCGACATTAAGAAACACCCACAGTTTCGCCGCTGCGAGGCTCCGGCGCCATTAATTTACATTTATTGTGCAGATTTTGAAATTCTAAAACAAACCAAACTAATTATGGTTTTGTAAACTAATTATGGTTTTGTATATTTTTTTCATTTTATCTTTGGGCACCTATGCCCTAAATTGTTAACAGAAATCAAGTTAAAGAGGTAAATGCAAATATTCTTTTGTGCACTACATCTCTATTCCTTAAAGACATTTCAAAGTTTATTTTGAAGGCCAAATGTTTTAGTTTCCTGTGTTATTTTCACACAGCTTCTGGGGCCTCAGGTGCTTTACACAGCACAGCAGATGGATAACACTAGACAGGCAACAACCATACTGAATGTAATACGGCAACAACGCAGGTTTCAATGGATTTGAAAGGATTTCAGGTAAAGCTTCTACTGTGAGGTTAGCTTTATCCCATGATGCATTTTAGTTTTACTCTGTATAAACACCAGCCACTAAGCTTGTAATTTTAACTTGTTCTTGACACTATTGGGGAAAGGAGGCTGCAAATTGTAGCCATATTTAGACTAGAGAGGGATGTATTGCATTGCTAATATTCATATATGTAGGCCTACTATATGCACATAACTGAAACATTACCTGCAGCATTAGAAATGCCCATACAGTTAAATCAAATCCTCTCTGACAAACACACACAAAAATAACATTATCTTTATAAGCCAGTTTTTATTGCAGGGCTGTTTGAATAGACTAGACATACCTTAGCAGTGATAAGTCTGTTGCAGGTATTATTAAGACGATATTTAGTGTTAACTTTTGATAATTTACTCAATTCAAATTATAATATTAAAGGTAGGGTAGGTAATTCACTTCAGAAACACTTTTTGTTATATTCCATGGAATGCTCTTAACATCCCGATAGCAATGAATACATTAAAAGCTTTGACAATAAATACATTAAAAAATGTCATCTGTGGAAGCCGTGGCGCTGTAAAAAGCACGACCAATTATTTTAGCCGGCCCGACTAAAATAACTGGATGGCCTACCTGCCTGTCAGCCTTCCATCTCGTGCACAAACTTATCTCGTGCCCTCATTGGTCATGTGCGCGTTCGTGTGTGTTGGAGGAGGGGCTCTGTAAGGAAGGGGCAGATTTTTTTCGGTTGCGTACTTTCAAATTCTAGCGCACTCGAGCTGGTTTCTCCATTCTACCTTTAACTGTGTGAAAACAGAAAAAAACATATACAGTATGTATAAAGTATGCTGAATGAAACTAGTGATTGTGAGCTAAATGTGGATATAGTTTTATACAAGAGTCTGATATACTATCTCAAGATTGAGTACTTATTTTAGCAGAGCATAATTTAAATTATAATTGAAAACAGTAGACAAAGGTGTTGCCCACATATATGTACTAAACGAGGGAAAATACAATTTAAATAAATGGTAAAAAAAAAAAAGGATAGGACCCAGGATGGATCCCTGTGGGACATCTTTTGCAATGAGCAAGACCAATCACTGGGCATTCTTGTTTTTTATACACTGAAGTCTCCAAGATGAGTTGTTTGTCTAGGGTGGATACTATATAATTTACAACAAATGTAGTGGATTTGAGTTTTTCCATAAAACCAGTTTGCTGTGGACATTGAGCAATGTTCACACAACTTTTGATTTAGATTTTTGGCTTACTTTATTTTGAGAAAATGTGGTCGAACAATAACTCCCATTATAGAGCTATACCCTTTATCCACCAGTCACTTTGTCACTGGCCATACTTTTAACTGTGTTGCTCAAATTATGGCTGTGCAATTTATTGAATGTACTCGAATGTATTGGCACTTGTTCTACGTGAAATAAATGACTATATCATGTACTGGTACAAATTGTGTCCTTTAAAAGTCCCATGTCATAAGTATACCCTGTAGCGAGTAAAACTCTAACACAGAAAAGACCCGTATATGCTGCCCCAGAAGGCCTCGTTGGAGATTTTTCTTTTTCCATTTTTTCTTCCGGGAACCAAGTGATGTAACAACGATCCAAATGGACCAATCCGTGGACACACACACACACACACACGCACACACACACACACGCACACACGCACACACGCACACACGCACACACGCACACACACACACACACACACACACACACACACACACACACACACACACACACACACACACACACACACACACACACACACACACACACACACACACACACACACACACACACACACACACACACACACACACACGTATATTTTCTCAGCCGCAGCCTGTGTGCTCAGGCTGAGTTCATGCTGAGTTTCGCTGTCTCTCGCTGTCTCGCTGTCACGCAGCAACCAGGAAACGACACCAGTAATACAGATCACACTGTCGGCTCCTCGAGTCTCAAAGGGCGGAGCAGCGAGCCCCGCAACGTCCCGCCAACACGGCACCCAGACCCCACGCAGCATTCTCATCTGTTTGTCATTACTGGTGTCCTTTTCTGGTTGCTAACAAACGCCATTGTAACACATAAGCACACATCAGAGCACAGTGGGCTCATAGGGAGGGGGGGGGGGCAGGATACACATACTATACAGAGATGCTGTATGAGAAAACCAATGTGATTTTGGAATCAGTAGATCAGTAGAAATGGCCATGTCATGGTCATTTCTACTGATCATAATTCCTACTCTACTAGAATAGATTTACATTGTGCAATTTTCCAAACGGCTTGTTGGAGCTCCTGCCCCCCCCTCCCTGTGAGCCCACTGAGCTCTGATTGGTCAGCTCACCCACTCTGTTCTGATGAGTCCACCACCGTTACAGCGGAACATCAGTGTTTATGTGTTACAATGGCGTTAGCAACCAGAAAATGACACCAGTAATGACAAACAGATGACAATGCTGCGTGGGGTCTGGGTGCCGTGTTGGCGGGCTGCTGCGAGAAGCCGACAGTGTGAGCTGGCTTACTGGTGTGGTTTCCTGGTTGCTGCGTGGGGTCGGCGAGACAGCGAGACACAGCGAAACCCAGCCCGAAACCAGCCCGAGCACACACACCCACAGCCTGGCTGTGAGTCTCAAGATTGAGTGTGTGTGTGAGGAAGTCACTTAACGTAACGGCTCCGCGGACGTAACGTAACGGCTCCGCGGATTGGTCCATTGGGTCGTCGTTACATCACTTGGTTCCCGAAAGAAACAAATGGAAAAAGAGAAATCCCCAACGAGGCGTTCTGGGGCAGCATAGACAGGTCTTTTCTGTGTTAGAGTTTTACTCGCTACAGGGTGTACTTTGAGGGTTTGTGACTCTGCAGACCGTTTACATGCAGCAAAAGCTACATAACACACAAGGGGATGGGTAATAACCGGAAAAGCATGACATGGGCCCTTTAAGACACTTGCACAAAACATTTGAGTTTTTTTTTTTTTTGCACAACATGCAGGTGAAAGCAGTACTGTGTTTATATAAATGTTAAAGAGGGGGAAAAAAGGTTTTCTCACTTACATAAATAAATAATCATAATTTTGCCAATATTGATCAAAAATAATTGTGATTATCATTTTGGCAGAATAATGTGTATTCAGTGTGTGGGAGAGAAACTCCCTCTGGAGGGAACACAGGGATTTGAGCCTTTGCAGACCATTGACATGCACAAAAACCTATAGAATTCACTACAGGAAAGGGCAAACTACAGTACATAAAGCATATCAGGGACTCTTTAGGGATTCAAAATAACAATATATATTTAGGTATCGCATAATAAATATTGAGATATTATTTATAGGCCATACCTCAATTGTACATTGGACGACAGAACTTGAATTACCTAGAATTCCCATAAACACCTTCATCAATGAGCAATGAGTGGAGAAAAAAGTACCATAAACACTTTCAATAACTTTTATTTTTTCCCTTAATAGATCTGTACAATCAACAAATCAAACTTAAGATGAGCAAAAACTGATCTGTACATGTTAAATGCTTCTGGGCACAAAAAGCTCCACACCCATTTAAATAATCAAAGGATGACTTGTCTAGCTATGCAAACACTTAAAATCAGTCCCACAGTCGAGAACATTGTGTGGAACAGGGGGAGGCAGGATGAACCAGAACAAACCAAAACAAAAAATATAAATGTTCCCTTTATATCTTTCTCTCCAGTGTTATAGAAAAGTACAGTCAAATATCTTATTTACAGAGAAATGAACACAACTCTAGTTTGATCAAACTGATGTTTAAAAGGTGTACTGAGGGTTTGTCTTCAGTTATCTGGATTTAAAAATGAAGGGGACAGACAGTTGATGTGAAAAGGAAGGATGCACACAGGCCTACAACAGACGATATGGCTACTGCTCCCATTTCAGCACCAACACCTTCTTTAACTACACACACACACACACGTATGCATTTCCTACAATCCTCTCCATTCAAGCACAATCCTGCATGATTCACTAATCAACCATTCCTGAGATACATTATTCAAATGATTTGATGTTAAGGTGTTTTGTTAACTTTCTTAGTAGTGCCAAAATGTACGATTAAAGCCCATCCTGTCATTCAATTTCAAAATAAAGCTGCCTTATTGCTAGGGTAACAGTGATTTAATGTCCATTGAAAAGAGATGTCATAAAATATTCAACGTATTTCATGTTAATGTTATTTAGAATTACAGTTATTGTGGAAATGGATCCCTTTCCGCCTCATCAGGCCGAGTCTAACATTGAAGCACAAACACAGGGAAGGTCCCACACTGCATACACATTATGGTGATACATTTTAGTAGAAATCTGTACTCGGATGCAGACTGAAGTGAAAACAAAAACAAGTGGTTATCCCTGTTCAGCAGGACCTTGTTCTTCAAATTTAGATAGAGGAAGGTTTCATAAAGCAGCATAACCTCAACTCATTCAAAGGTTTTAATAGAAACCCCAAAATTCCTATGTCACTTTTTTCCTATTTCCATGTCTGTTTCTTCACTGTGCGTTGAGTCGATCCAGATTTTCTTAATTCCGGTTTAAATTCCTAACTGGATAAAATGATCTGGATTTGGCCAAAGAGTAACAAAGAACTCGTGTTGATCTTGGGTCACACTACAACATAAAGACAACAGGCTTATGTGTAAACTGACATCTATGTGTCCTGACGACTTCAAGGTTTTTATTCCGACAGAACAACCGTTTACATTATTTAAATGTTTTATGTCGATCATATATTTTTGGAAATACAATTAGGGCCACATGTGAAATCAAATTTGAGATCTAAAGAAACGTTTTTTTTTCTGAGTTCTGAGATTAAAGCCTGACTTTTCCCCCAGAATTATATAATAAAAAAAAAAAAACATAATTTCCATGCTCCTATTCTGTAACATCCTAACTTTTAACATTCTAAATTATACTTTAAGTATTCTGCCCAAATGTGTTTTTATTAATACAGTATCAGGGTTTGTCTAACAGATTACAGTATAGCACTCATGGCTCTTACAAGGTTTGTGATGAAGACTGGGAGTTGACCCATAAAGTCAGACTTAGATCAACAATTTGGACATGTTGCCATGACAACCGGTTCCAATCCAAGCTCCTCAATGACGATATGAAGAACAAGGCCCTGCAGCTTGTGCACACCGTGCCGTTTGCTGTGCACTCTAATAACACTTAGTGGATCACACCTCAGTAAACCTGTCATTTTTTAACCAGAAGACACCCATACAGTAATTGGACCAACATGAAATATTGTTAGGTAAAACTCAATGTAGTGTTTCCTTCAGATTGAGTTGTTTAACCATCTGTTAGCAAGTGTTTCTTGGAGGTGCCATCACCAAATGGGAGTGATCTTAACAGTTCTGTCAGTTTTAAAAATTCAACATTTCTTAGAGGTTTACAAACACACCCTGTGTAACGACTCGGCTGTATACTGCAAAAAAATGCATCGTGAAAACATCGAGTTGAAAAAAACCTTGAGTTTCGAATTTTCAAAAGATGTTTGATGGCATTTTGTCTGGGAGGTTGAACAGTTGGTGGAGAAAGGAGGGTTATAGGCTGGTGCGAGGTGCAGCAGCAGCAGGGTGCTCCACCAGGGACCACCATCACCATCAGTCTCTTTCCTTTCTGCCCCCACGTTGTATCCACACAAAAACCTGCTAATCTACTTTGAAATGTAGTGGTCAGTGTTGACAGAGTGTCTGCAGAGTGACGGAGGCCTTCCACGATCCAGTCAGTGAGCAAAGGCCCAGAGCCACAAATTAGGTAGGATGGGAGAGGGGAAAAATATTGGTTGAACCTTTATTTAGTTACAATATAGATATTAAAAAAGTTTTTTTTTCTTTACAAGTACCTCTTCCCTCTTTCTTTGAGTCCTTTTTGTGTACAAGAACCAGTGGGGGGGGGAGGATTTTTTTGAAGCAGTGCTGTTCTCGTGGATTATGCCCGCAATTTTTTTAATTTCTTTTCAAAAAGGAAAGGGAAAAGAAAAAGAGAACAAAAACGAAAGAAAAAAATGAAAAGGAAAAACAATCTTCAATCCAGTGGTGTGTGTGTGTCACTGCTGATCACAAAAGAGTACGGAGGGTGGTGGTGGGGGGCGGAGATCAGAGCATTTTAGGAGTTCAAAATCCCTCCACCCAAACTCCCAGACCCCTCTCTGCCAGCGTGCGGTTCACTGAAATCACCTGAAACACCAAGAGACACAGTATTAAACACATTATAGAGACCTTATTCACATGATATGATGCTAGAATATAATGGAGAACAGGCCTGCACTGAAAAAGCTTATATTAATAAAGTTTGACAAGTCACAGTATGCAACTTGGACTTTATTGGCCGTTTGCTTGGTTAAATATGGCGTTCGCTAACAAATGATGGCATACCAGAAATGTTTTAGTCGATACCAATACCAGTGAAATTCCACGATTTTCTAAACCAATTTTATTGCAGGGTTGAAAACGAATAGTTTCTTGACATTAGTAGTTTTATTGATGTAAAATAATATGCTAGTGCGAGGAAGTTAAACTGGTTATAATTGTATTTGGTCACATAAAAACGAAATGTACAAGATTACATTTGACTATATCAACATTTTGTTAGAATGTACAGTCATACAATGCTATTGTATACTGAATAAATCAGATTCAGAATAAGTCATTTATCCCAGGGGAAATTAGATTTTGTGAATGTTGCTCTAGTTAAGAATAAATTAAATAGAATAAATATATTTTATAGAAAATGTAAAATGTTGAATAATAGGTCAAATAAAATGGAAGTCGAGTAAAATGTGCACACAATTTATAAAATTTTAAAAGTTGAACCCATCAAAATGCAAGTCAGTGGAACATCCGTCAGCGCTGTTGTTTAACCAAGCAGGACTGTGCTGCCCTCCAGCTGCTAACAGCTAACATTAGCTAGCTCTCCTCCTGCCTTTCAACACACTTTTAGACGATTTCCAAAAATAACCCAAAAATAAGGGGTGCATCTTTCAGACAGGTCAATAGTGTGTTTACTGTGTTCTTTTGGATTGTAACGTGACGGCGCCTGCTTCCTACGTTCAGACTCAAGCCCTGAACCTACTTTACATACAGAACAGTAGAAACACATACCGTCCCATTTACAGACTTCTGGCATAAACTTGGTAATAGTTCCTGTCACATCCATATTACAAATATGCACATGCAACATGATCCCTTTTCTTTACTTAAACTACTTCATTTCACTCTCTTCTCGACCCACAAAATAAAGTCTATTGCATATCTTAGTTTGGACAACGGGGATTGATCCCTGCTTGTTATGGTGGCACAAACATCCTAACATTGCAAAAGAACTGCAGGCACCTTTAAAAAAAATTAAACTTATTTTGTGTTAGTCGTCTGTAACAAGATTTTCTGTACTGTGTTAAAAATATGTGCAAACTCCATTAAAGGTAAAAAAAAAAATCATAATACTAATGATGATTATGCTGTTGATATGATTATTACTTCAATGTATGCATTCATTTTAGCTCTTTTCAGGAAAAGCTGTAGTGTCAAAAAAGTGTGTTCATAATGACAGTTCGCAACAAAGAAATGTGGAAGTCTTTTCAAAGCTAGGCCATAACAGCACCAGTATACGGTGTCACGTCCAGTACAGAGCAGTGCATTATGGATAATGTGAACACCGTACCTCGTCTCCGACCATGTTCCACAGGTGGACCAGAGGCAGTCCTGTGTTGTTGTCGTAGTTTGAGACCTACAGAGAGGGAAACACAGGCGGTCAGTGAGCTGCAGAAGACTCACTCTGGTGAGGAGTTTAGAGAGGGGGGAGGGGGGGGGGGGGGCTCACCTGTGCGAGCAGAGCAACTCCTCGGGTCATCTCCTCCAACGCTGCTGTGGCCTCTGTGGAAAACCGATCCTCTCCTGGGGGGGGGGGGGGGGGGACATTTCAACACGTCAGAAAAAGAGCAACACAAAACCTGAAGCTTCCTTTTGGTCTCGTGTGATTTATATTGGTCAGCGTTCCACAAATAGCTTTTTGACCATTATGGGTTTACCATCAAGGGGGCTAATAGTGCATTTTGCCATGTAAGTACAGAAGAACACCATTTGAGACAGCCTTGGAATACTAGCACTGCCCTTGTAGTAGCAGGCCTATTGTTTTCAGGCATATACAGGTTTATGGTTTATTGAGTTATTGGGTAAGTGTTAAGAGTTAAGACTGTTACACAAACAACGTTGTACCTGGAAGTGGGCCGATGCTGTCGAGCAATACTTCGGCACCTTGAAACGGTAGTGTTACAAAATCAGATCTGAAAAATAAAAAGAAGAAATCAGTCAGACAACATGTTAAAAAATATATCTCATAATATATAAATGTGCATTTCCTATGGTATTGCTGCTTGCAGCATTTTCAAAAAAAAAGTTATCATCTAAAAAACGTCCACTTGTTGAGGACACACTCACAGAGCTGGACTTCATACCGACACATGTAAAACTTACTTTAGTAACTTTTATAAATGTAAATACCTACTATACTGACAGTTGGTTACACTTAAACAAACTATTTGCCATTTGGAACACCTGTAACTCCAAAAACACATTGAACCATTTCGCCATTGCTATGTGGGGGGTGCCTTCCTCTGTGTGACATAGTTGAGGATTAGGCATGATGCTCGTCAAACCACCCACATTTAAGAAACAAAGCCAATAAATAATTGTCAAAGTGTGCGTGCAGGGAAAGGTCCTGTAACCAGGTGTTTTTGGATAAAACAAATGATTGTATTAAAGGTCCCATCATATACTTCTCTGGTTATTACCCGTCCCCTTGTGTGTTATGTAGCTTTTCTGCATGTAAACCAGGGGTGGGGAACCTTTTTCCTCTCAAGGGCCATTTCAATTTGTTCAACATCCTCCGAGGGCCGTACAAATTATTGACCTCTGCTTAAAAATACGAAAATCACAGCCCATTCATTTTTTTTAAATGTTGAAGTTAATCTAAAGCATCAATCTGGTGCACTTTGAGAGCAACATTAGGAGCTCTATGGATACATCTCTCAACATCCATATGAAACAGAACTGTAAGCAGATTTATTTTTCTTTATGGATATTTTACAAATCACTCCCTTTTCAAACTGTATTCTTGTTTATTAATAACAACTTTTTACTGTCATATAGTATTTTATACCTGTTTACTTTATTCTGTTATATTTTTATAACTATAATGATCATATAAAGATGTGCCTTTACCTCACTGGTTGTAGAAAAAGCTTCTTATATTCGTTAGCATAGCTAGCTAACCAGATGCTAATAACAACAAAGGTATTGACAGTATGATCAGTATGACAGATGAACAGATCGCCACTGGGCTTTCAACTAAAGACACAGCCACGCACAAACTGCAGCATGTGTACGGCTCCTTATGGGTACTGCAATTTCTGAAGTGCCGGAGCGGTGTTCTGGTGCTCTCCGTCAGAACTACACCCCTTTCAGACGAGACATATACCACGTGATGACACGTTAGGCTCGTGTTGTGTTCAAGGACCCTGACCAGGAAAAACAGGCACTCTCTTGTTTAATTCTTTTGCGGTCTAGATTACTTTATTTTTTCCGTGTGTTTATAAATTACCTTTATAAAGTACCAAATGGTCTCGCGGTCCGTATACGGCCCGGAGGTTCCCTACCCCTGATGTAAACGGCCTTCAAAGTACACCCTGTAGCGAGTAAAACTCTAACACAGAAAATACCCGTCTATGCTGCCCCAGAACGACACACACACTAATCAGAACAGAGTGGGCAAGCTGACCAATCAGAGCACAGTGGGCTCATAGAGAGGGGGGGCAGGAGCTCCAACAAGTCGTGTATGACAGAGAGTGAATACACATACTATACAGAGATGCTGTATGAGAAACCAATGTGAGTTTGGAACATTGAACAATGTAAATCTATTCTAGTAGACCTCAACAATGGAATTATGGTCAGTAGAAATGGCCATGACATGGGACCTTTAATAATCCCAATTGGCCACAAAAGAAAATGTACAATTATGTGGATTATTTTTAGTTTAAAAAAAAAAAATCAAAAATCTATAGGAAAATAAAAATGAGAACTGCATTTTAATATACACACAAAAGAGCACGTAACCTGTACAAGGGTTACTCTGGGTCAAGCACTTTTGGAGAGCAGAGTTTGAACCGCTACAATGAAACTATGATGAGCCGGATTTAAGAAATGCCCTTCCATTCCTTTTATTCTACATTTTTTTTGCGAGAAACCTCTGACACTCACCTTATCTGCCGTAGTGTGTCGATCTTAACTCTGTCGTAGCCTCCGTAGTCGACGTATCTGATCTCCACTTCATTGGTTTCTTTGTCGAAGGTAATGACCTGAGCTCTCCACCAGGCTCCCTCCACTGCCGGAGCTGCACAGATCACACCAACTGCAACACACAGACAAATAGGAACAATATAAAAGCTGCAGGTAGCAGTGAAAGAGGGATTTCTAACAGTTCTATGCTACTTTTGTTTTTGCTTGATTGTTAAAATATTCACATAGATTGACTTGTGCAATGTCCAATTTTGCAGTAAGCTCAACATTTGGTAAAGGCAAAATAGGTAAAAATATCATGAATTAATGAAATAGTTTGTAGCTGCAGAGAAGTCCTGGCCTATAAACCGTGTTCTACAAATAAATACAAATCCTTGTTCGGTACAGATCCTCTTAAAAAAACATGATCATTTCAATATTTCTTCAATGTTCAGCTGCAAATGATTCACTGCATTTATTATGCAATGCAGGTGTGTGTATTATTAACCAATAAAAAAAATCAGCTAATAAATAAACATTTAAATATAATCATGGGTTAGGACACCAAGCTGCAGTGTATCAAGTATTATTTTAATTATAGTAAAATTAGATCCACCTTTACCAGCTGAGACATTATTGCATAAAGAAAATCATAATCCAGTTATTTCATGCATACGTTTCTCAAACATGATTACTTTTAGCGTTTATATATATTTAGATGCCAATACTTTTGTACTTTAAACTATTTTTAACAGTAATTCACAATATGGTATTGTTACTGTTACTAAAGTAAAAGATCAGCGTACTACTTCCACCTCTGTTATCATCTTGCTGTTAATATAAATCAAAGTGAAACTAACACAAACCTGGATGTACTTTTTTGTACACTATAGTGTAAATCACAGATAAGAACGATCATGAACAATGGGAGGTGCAGTTGTAGCTCTAGTTTAAAACATCAGTGTGTGACCCGGCCTACCTTCAGCGGGTGAGGGCAGGGCGGGGGTGCCCGGCTGGGAGTAGCAGAGGAACATCTGCTGGTCGAGGCTCCGCAGCGCGTGGTAGGTGGGGTGGGTGTGCTGCTGCACGAACACGTGACCTGCAGACATGATGTTCACCACGATCACTTCCACCGTCACCCCGCTGGGGAGCAGGAGCTGAGGGGAGGACAGGGAGGCAACAGTTAGCGACAGCGTTGTAAAAGAACAGGCAGACAAGGGAGGAAAGAGGTTGCCGCAGAATTAGCTGCTCTTCACTAGCTCTGTATAATAATAAAGAATCAAATGTAATACTCTTCTCCTTGCATACAAAGCCCTTAATGGTCAGGCACCATTCTATCTTAAAGAGCTCATAGTAGCCTAATGCCCCACTGTGGCATTATGTTCCAAGAATGAGGGTTATAGGAGTCTCCAAAAGTACAATAAGAGCAAGAGCCTTCAGCTAACCAGCTTCAGGTTTGTGTTCAGGAGGCGGACACCCTCTCTACATTTGAGAGCAGGTTCAATAGTTTCCTTAATGATAAAGCTTATAGTTAGGTCTGGTTGAGGCTTGCTTTGGATCAGCCCCTAGTTATGCCGCTATAAGCTAAGACAGTCAGGGGGACTTTGCCCTTTCTTCTCCTCTCTATCTCTATGCACCCATATCCCATAAATGCAATTCGTTAACCAAGCATGGCAGGATGGCCTTAATAAAGTTAGTGTCTGGATCACGAGTCGTGGCTGTGCCAGTTGTCCTTATCCTGTTTGACACCCACTTCATTTTTTTTTTGACATCCTCCTGGATCTATCTTTTTCAAAAATATATTATTTAGTTGCTGCAAACAATTTGCTACTGTTGAGGGTCTGTGCCTGCAATGTAGTGGCTGGCTAAGTACAGGGTTCTTACACCTTTTCCAAAGTCAAATTCAAGCACTTTTCAAGCATTTTCAAGGTGCATTTTCAAGCTTTTCAAGCATCTTACAGCTGTTGTAAATTACATATTTATATACACATACTTAAACTCAAATGATTATTTCCCTACCTCACATTAAATCAGATGTTCTTTATGCTATAAACAACCAAATGTGTGTTTCATAATAGCATTCTACATGAGGATGAAAAATTTAAAATGTTAGAAAAGAAAACTAAGTTTAATATTTCAAAATGTGTGACCCATCTGTACGTAGACTGGGCATCCCATATAACCTGGCTGAGCCAATATAAAACAATCAGCCAAATAACTTTTCAATATAGTATTGATTACTATTTTTGAGGTACTTTTAGGTTGGCAGTAAACATAAGTCAGAGGTAAATGGTGTACTTTGACTCCACTACATGTATTTAATACCTTTAGTTACTTTACAGATGTGGATGAATGATGTGAAATATAATCAAGTGTTAAATCAGACTTTAGTTCCACCTGGAGTAAATTCACAAGCTACTCTGTAGTATACAAAGTCATTCAAACTAGCTGCAACTTTACCAGCTTTGAGAACACTTTAATGATCAATCATTATAAAACATATCATATACAATTATTAGGGATGCTCCGATCGCCAATTTTGGAGCCGATCGCCGGAATCAGTATCGGCCGATACCGATACCGCTTTCTTTTCCTCTCTCTCTCTCCTGACAGCCCGTCAGTATCTCCTGCAGCTCACTGATCCAGTAATGAGCGACCCGACAGTGAAGAATAAATATATTTATAACTAGTTTAGCTTGTTCCAGAGGTAGATAAAATAGCTAAGTGTGTTAGGTCTAACTCTTAATGTGTGTTCTGCTCCGCTCACCGGTCCGTCACAGCGGGTGGAGCTGCAGGATTTCTGCTTCACACACACGTTGCATACCGCTATTTTATTGTCATTTTCGGACACTTAAAATACTGCCTAGTGAAGCCATTTTGGCGAGCTTGTTTTACCGCGCACAGAGAAAAGTGTCATGTATTTTACATGCAACGATAGCCTAATCTAAAATGCTCTACGGCGTACCTTTCGTGTGGTGTGTGGCTCGTCAGCGCAGAATCTCGCATCGTTATTGTTGCACACTTTGCAGGAGGCTACTCTTGGGCTTCGCTTGACCCTCGTCTTAGCCATGGCTTGTATTTGTCTTCTGCTAGCCAGCGCTCGTTGTAACTGCAACCTCCTGGCATACCGTCATCTATCACTCTCATCAGAATGCCCAGGTCACACACGTAACAAAAACACTTGCCGGTCACGCGCATTGCGCGGGAAGGCCGGAGCGGAGCTGTTTTATGTAAAAGCGAAGCAATTAAGCGCGCTCCGACTTCTTCATTTTCTTTTAATCTGAAAAGCGAAGTAAAGCATTTACAATTTCAAGCACTTTATCCCAAATTCAAGCACCATTCCCAAAATTCAAGCACTTTTCAAACCTTGAAAACACCTCGTACAATTTCAAGCATTTTCAAGGATTTCCAGCACCCGTACGCACCCTGTAAGTAATTAAATAGTCTTCAATGCGAATGGTTGGCAGTAGGAAGCGCATTAATGACCTCGTTAATTTAACACAGTAGAGTTAAGTGATGCGCTGGAGAGGTTGCGGTGTCGAAAAGCGATTCATAAATGTTTAAAGAAAAACTCTGAAGTGAGTCCTTGACAAACTTCTGAGGAATAATATTTGCAGTTCAAGCGGCCGTACGAATACTGCGTTTTTTAACTGCTCCACTGTTGTCAATGTGCTGCCGTCTATAAGCACTACGGCTGTGCGTAAAGAGGAAAAGCAACTTTTTTCCAAGTCGGAAAGAGGCTGTGATGTGCCCTGCTGACCGAACGGGCTGCTTCACCATAAAGCAGAATATGAAGTAATAACCGAGAATCAGATGTGTGTGGACTGCAGAGTGTAGCAGCAGCTCTTGTTTTGAGCAGATCTAAAAGGTAAACAGTGGCTGGCTAAAAAGTTCTAGATGACATCTATTGCTGTATTCACTTAGTTTCCAAGGTTTTACAGTTCTGCTAAAAGGAGAATGAACCTGCAGTGTATTTCTTTACCTCACAGAACTGCAGCACACTCTTGTGGTGCTTCACCATAACTCTATTGTGACCAGGGCTGTGAAAAAAATTCATTGGGCATGTACACTTCAGATGTTCAAATATTTTTAGATAGTTTGTTTGGTATGAAGTAAACCTGTTCTCTTTGTTTCAGCCAGCACTACACCTTAATTACACTGTTCATACCTTCTCATTCATTTCGCCACTAATCACAAATGTTGCATTTTCTAGTTTCAGACTTATTTTGTGCATGTTGTGTTAACTTGAGCGAAGTGTACCCGCACTCATGAAGGTTTTGGTATTGTGTCTTAACTATCGCACTGAGCAAGTCCGTGACTGCAGACATCACCAGCTATTTTGTATTTGCAGATGTCTGTTGTGTCAGAGATAGACTAAACAGTTTGTGACATGACCATGTTACTCTAAAGAAAGACGGATTAAGAGTTGCAGAAACGACTGAAATGTGCCTCTTGACCCAACTCTCAGGAAAAGTATGTGATAAACTCCAACTAGCACCAAATTGTCTCTTTTAAAGTCATGCTACTGCCTACATAGTTTTTAGGGTTGAAAATAGGTGGCATTAAGTAAACGGAGAGCAGCCAGAGAGCCCAGCCTTACCCAAGAGGTCATGGGAAGTGATGGCAACGTGAGTGGTGGTGGGGGGGGTGCGTATAGGTTGGTCAGGTCCAGATCTTTAAACTTCTTCCCGATCAGAGACAGGGCTTTGTCCACCTGCTGCTGCGTACCTGGAGAGAAACACAAGGTTTTAGGGGTGGTTAAAAACAACACTGATGATTAAAATGTGGAGTTGAAATCGTTTGCATGTGAGTTTGGCGGTGGGGGGGCTCACCCTCTATGTGGCAGATCTGGAACTCCTGAGTGTAAGGCAGGGTGGAGATGTAGATCTTTGCACCCGAGTTCTGCTTCAGGAAACTCACGTATCGTCCCTGCTTCCCTATTAACCGCCCTACAAGATGCTGGAGCAGGAAGGAAACAAAAGTTAATTTACACAACCGTGGACCAAACATATCCAAAATAGAAAAATAAAACACATCACTAATTGCACCCTGAACATCTTAATACATATCGTCTCAGCTACTTTGTACTAAAACAACACTGGCTGTGCACTCTCCGCAGTGGCAACTACTCTGGAAAGTTATTTATTCCAAGAGGGGATTTGGTCAGCATGTTGTCACATATGAATAGATACATTTCAAGATTCTAGCCCACTGTATTAAATGTTTCATTTTGCCACTTTAGTCCGATGGTTCCTCACAAAAAAACAACTCATATTTCAGACAAGTTTATCTTTGAAAACGGCTTTGGTAATTCCCTTTAACCACTGGGCAAATGTATCTTTCAGTGACAGGACTTGTTTGAGCATCAGATACATGTGCTATTTCCTGTTGGTAATTTGACAAGACTACATTGTAAATGGTTGCTGTACGTTGAAAATGCCCCGTATTGCAACTTTTGGAGGGGTGAATTTGCTGACTTGAAAATGAAAGGTATAAATAATAAAAAATATAAATGGTTATCATGCAGCAATATAATTTATAGAGTTAACTTAACTGAGTCAAGGGTGCAATCTTCGTTGTTTCTTGTCTGCATGAGGTTGCCAAAGTCAAACAATTTGAAACCCTTCCCCTTACAATCAAGACTGACATCAATATTGACTTTAAAATGTATATTGCCTACAATTTTAAGCTTTTATTCTAATTCCTTAAATATTATCAATAGCCAATATAACATTAAATAACTGATTTGCAGCAAACATTAGCATTTTTTCAGAAATGGTGTGAAGGGGGATCAAATCCCGCCACACTTGGAATTCAGGTTTCACTTCCAGAAGTCCGGACTCACCTTTGGCACCTCGATCTCCCAGACGACGAGGTCGGAGGTGGAGGCGGCGCCGTGGTTACTCTGGATCTCCCCAGCCCCCATCGTGCAGCCGCTGTCCACAGAGTCCATACTGTTCACATCAGAGCCTGCACACACAGAGTCATCGGTCACATTTTGGTAGCGTGATATGAATTCAAATTAATGTCAGTGACTTTTGGTTTTTGCAGTGCAGGTATATTACGGTATTACATACAAATAAAGCGATGTGTGTCCAAACATCATTCTACCTCTTATCACTCTACTTTCAAATTAGAGGGAACTTGTCTTATGGAGAAGAACAAAATCAATACAACTGATGCGTTTATGGCTCCAAATATCAATGAAAATAAGATACAAGCCCACATGTGTTTAGGGAAGAATTGCCTGCCCCATAATAGAGGTTGCTTAGTAAAAAGCCAAGGCTGGTTTTTTGTTTTAAATAAACTGTATTAGTGAGAAACCTGAATCTGAGCAAAAAAGGAAATTTGGAAGCCAAAAATACTGTTTCAAAGTTTTCCCCCCTCTAAAATAGAGGGGCCACCTAATTTGTAATCTGAAAAACCACAACCATCCAAACTGGGAATCATCCTTGGAGAAACTAAATGCTGACAACATTGTTAAAATCTCAACTATGTACTGTATATGCTTGAAATCCACATGGAGAGACAGTTTGAAACACTGCACAGCATTAATCTGTTGGACCGATAATGTACCAAATTGTCAGAAACGTAGCTGCTGCTCATCTACAGATTTGCTGGGTCCACTGTTTTTTAACCTCGACACACAAACTTGACAAACTGACAGTAGCAGCGCTGCCCCCACATAGACGGTGAGCCGCGGTAGTTTAGGTAGGTAGCGGCCAGTCACACCAGGTAGGCAGCAGCATATACCATTTTTTTTAATGTGTTTTCTGCTTCAGGGACGTTTTCATTTTGTTCAAACCCGCGACGCTCTGCAGAGCCACAGCATTACCTCTTCATTTTTTACCAGGGAAGTGATCGGAAGTCGGCAAGACTCTCTGAACATAGGATTCGTATACAAATCCTGAAAAAACTCCCTCCATGGGGAGACAATTCCTCGTGCAGCAGGAGACACCCTTTGAATTACTGTTAAGTTACTGCAGATTGCCCTCAGTCAGTGTTCTTCATAGTGATTGACAGCCTTCAGATTTTGCCCGTTATTTGAAAAAAAGACGGCAATAGTGACTTCGGCCAACAGTACTAAATCACATGGCCCAACAACACATATCGGCTACTGCAATAGCAGTGTTTCCCTTAGGATGGAGTCTTAGCAGCGGTGCTAAGGCACGCGGGCCCAGCAAAATACTAGCGCGGAGCGCGTGGAATTTCTTTTTGTGTGCGCGTGCGAAGTGCGCCCCGCCAATATGTTTCTATGTGTCTGCCAGCACAAGAAAGGCTCTTGAGGCTCTACAGGTGTATTTTGCTAAATCACCTTTATTGAACATACAGTAACACAAATACTACACATCCACATAACAAACAATCAAAATAAAATGTATGCAATTTAATTATTTTAACCTGCTTTATTTGGGGGTGGACCTCACATCCCCTAGGGGGGTCCGGGGGCATGCACCCCCGGGAAGATTTGTTTTTAAATGCATCGATCTGGTGCACTTTGAGCACAAAATGAATTTATGGATACAGCTCTCAACACACTATATTAAATAGATAAAGGTGTGCTCTCTCTAGCTCTCTCGCTCTCTGTCTCACAGAGGCTGTGCTCCTCCGTGGCGATGACGCGAGCGCCACGTATTATTCTTTTAATGTATATAGGGGAAACACTGAATAGGAGAAGGTCACCTCCTTATTTACCAAAGTGCCTGCTCTGTGGACACTGACACAACTAAAGTAAAAAAAGGGCTGAAACAATTCAAGTAACCGTTACTGAAAAATTGGTAAGTTATCTTGTATATTTACCCGATATAATGTACTCCACATCAAAATATATGAAACTACAACAATAAGGCAAATTAAAGTTCTATTTTCCTCATACAACGTCTCAAAACTAAAAAAAGGTATCATTGGGGAATCTTCTTTGGAGGGTCGAACATTTGAGAAAATAAGGGAATCGTTAACAAAAAGTTCCTTAAAACAAATAAGATAATGAAGCTGGGAACTTGTACTTTGGTCCACCAGTTACTGGGAGATGTGAACCCTGTTTTGTGAAGGCACAGTCTCCCTGAATGTAAAATATTTCACCCTCAATCACTAACGTCAGGTGAAAATCACCCCAACACGTGCCTTTTGAAAAATGCAACTCAGACAGCAGCAACACAATGAAAGTCACGTGAACACAATTGTGTTGGTGAAAATCACCCAATGTTATTTTTCTAGGGTGAAAGGTGTGCAACAGAAGGGTAGACATTAGGTCTGTCAAAGCAGCCCCACGACAGTTTGGATAGTCCTTCCAAACCAACACGTACCCAAGACCGAGAAAAGGGACGAGTGCACTTAGACAAGTCTACTACACACACATTTCTGGCGGAGAACATCATGGGTAGATGACATCAGTATGTAATGGTGGATAAAGCTGCAGCAACAGGTATTGTGCGATATGACTGTCAGTTTGGCTTATGTGTAATCTGAACCCTTTTATTTATTTTTTTTAATTGAAGTTTATTTGTTTTCATCATTTTAGAAAATATTTGTTATATAAATCGCAGAATGTATAATGGCACTTAAATGAACTTTAGGGGTGAGTTTTTGCAGATGCTATGTATTTGATTAAAAAGTTAAATAGATTTTTCTTTAAAAAAAGGAAACCAGGCAGTTGTTATTTTCAGAGATCCATCCTATTCTCTATATTTGCTGCATTTATTTACTTTTGTATTTATATACATTTGCAATAATTCCCCCTTGTCTACTCAAGAAAAAATGTGTCTATTCTGATTAAATGTACGCATTTTCTTATTTTCCAACGTTGTCTGCTTACGTCTACATATAGAGGCCAACCAGCCTGATGTGCTTCAGGTCATTGCGCTTACATTCTGTACAAACGTGACCACATGACACACTTTGAGTGACAGTCACAGTAAAAATGATTTAATAAATACATTTAAAAGTTCACATAGGAATAGATAATTATGGGAAATAATCAAAAGTGCAACATTTAAAAATGAGATGATATATCATATTTTAGCATTAAGTAATTAAAGCCTACTTTTATTTGTAATTGAAAATGTAATGGCATATTATTTAACAAGTCATGTTTTTTTTTTTGTATTTTCTGTTCTGCAGAGTTTACAACACAATGGTTTGAATCAAAAGGGATGAAATTAAAATAAAATATCAGTTGTGAGCTTTTTATTGTCTGTACACACAATACCTCAGAAAAGCAATGGTACATGACAAGATACTACTACAGTATACCTCCTGATTATGACATTTTAAACATTCTCCATCAATATCAAGTAACATGCCACAGAGATAATTGACAGAATGATGGCTCACCTCCGGACTGATCCGTCTCTGCCTCACACGTCCCGTGGGCTCCGTTCCTCAGACCCATCCCATTGAGCCTCTTAATGTCACACACAGCATCCTCTGAATTTTCCTCAGTAATGGCCAACACTGACGCCTCCGCGGCCGCCTCGTCCAGCATTTGAGGCGGCGTGGCTTCTCTTGCTGACAAGTCTGTAACCTGGATGGCGTCGAACATGCTGTTCTGGAGGTCCTCGTTGCTGATGCCGTCCTCAGAGTGGCACATGCTGCAGGCCGAGTCTTCCGTCAGCGCCGCAGATTCCTCGCCTTTCAGTTTCGCGCTTAGCGAGGGCGAACTGAGCGCCGCTTGGTGCGACGGCGTTACCCAGTGGCTTCTCTGTGCGTGGTTTGTCTGATGAATCTCGTGAATGACCTCCACGGGCTCCCATACCGGAGCCGAGGAGCATCCGTTGGGAATCCCTTGCTCTTCCTCTCTACAGCCCGCCTGAGGGGGGCTTGTCAGAAGGTGCTGTGCTGGTGCTATGATTGGTTCCTCTTTGGAGAATAGTCTGCCGCTGTCCAGGGCTGTGCTGCTGTCTGTGCCCTGGCAGCTGGTGACACCGAGGACCTCCTGGGTGGCTGCCGAGATGACCTCAGTTATGAGGCCAGCTGCTAGGAGCTCCAGATCCTGCTGCTCTCCACAGCCGCTGTGCACCTTGACGTCCTCAGATACGGAAGTGAACTCTGGGCCCAGGGAGGCAGGCGTGCTGGTTAGAATGTGTTGTTTGAAATCCTGTTCTGAAGGGGGTGTCTCTAGTGAGCTGCCCTCTGATGGCCTCACCATCTGCACTCTGGCTGGGGTGACGGCACAAACCAAGATCTCGTCTTGTGAATTAACAGCGCTGTATTGTTTCGCGACTTCCCCCTCGGGCTCCGGCCTCTCGGCATCGGAAAGGTATGTTGTTGTGGGGGGGGAGCTGGTGACTTTGGTAGACTGGCACGGCATGATGACATCTTCAACAATGTCTTCTGGAGTGGAGGCTGGGTCTTTGACTAGGCGTATCTCCGGTTCTTCTAGGGAGGCAGGTGCTGAGCTTTCCTCCTGGTATTTATGGTCTTCCGACGACACCTGCAGGGTTTCTTCCTCTCCAGGTGAAGGTAGAGGGGAGACCGAGGGTTTATGGACTTCCTCTTGTCCTATTCTGCCAAGGTGAGGGGCAGCTTCCTCTGAACTTTGTTCTTGTAAAGGCGCTGCTTCAGTGTGCTGGACATGGACCTGGGAAATATTTTCATGTTCTGTTCTCAGGTTACCGTCCTTTGCATGTCTGTGGGTTGGGCTTTCTGTACCATTTGTGGGGGATACAGTGCCTTTGTCAACCACACCGTTGCTACCTTCTGTGGTAGATGCTTTAAGGCCCATAGCAGTTGGAGTCCCCTCTAGGCTGTCATGGCGGATGAGCCGCTCTTTCTTCCGTGAGATGTACCACCACCAGCCGATCAGTGCAAGGACTCCGGGCAGTGTGTAGGGCACAACAGAGCGAAACCTCAGCGGCATTTCCTCAGGACACTAACAGCTACACCTGAAATACAAACACAGATAGGTATTAGTTAAGGGACACTTCACATTAAATAAAAAGGTATGGCAAATATTTGGAAACCTGTGTGGAACTGCCCGTTGGTTGTAAGTTGATTCAAGAGTTAAGCTTTAGTCTTTCACCCAACATATAGTGGTAAATGTAAGAGATGCCATGTGCGGCGGCGAATGAAAACAACAAAAACTTTACTTTTCATGTTTAAAATCCTCTTAAATATAGATTACAAAGGCATTCCACTTGTATATTCACATGACAACTACCCAACTCTGCAATTGTTGAGGTCAGGATTATAGCAAAAGCTAAAATTGGGGTTACTGGACCCATGGCACTGAAGAAGTCTTTGATAGTTACCTGGAAACTTGACACTTGGATATCTTGATCTCGTTTTTTGCCTTTAATGTTTCAATATTTCTTATCATGCCGATCTACAATCAACCATGAACCACAGTGTAACCAGTTGAGAACCTTTTGTTGCAATAAGTGTTGGGAACCAAAACTAAGTTGTAAATTAGATCCAAATGGAGCACGTTCTTTGACCCTCTGCCCGCTTCGAAGTTTGTGAAATCAAGAAGCGATTGGCTCAGTAATGTGGTGCATGGTGAGCAGATAAAAGCCACAAATAGAAAATCAACAGTTGAGCCTTAAAGGTGCACCAGATGAATCTCTCCACAACCCTAACGGTACATTTACTCTCGATGTGAATCAAGTTACCACCGGAGTACGTTGAGTCTTAAACACCTCTTGCTGGTCGAGCACGTGGCTGATGCTGACATTTCTTTCTTTTGAAAGCAGTGGCCAGGATCAGAAAACTTGATTTACTGCCTGCTGTATGTTGGAGCCGTTGTTTGCCGGTGCACCAAATCAAAACTAGAAAAATTATTGATATCATTCCAAAACAGACTTAATTTACAGGTTCAATAAACTATATGCAATGCAAATATACATTGTGCAAAAGGTTTTAGAAATATTAATAAGTGATATAGGGCATGTGACCTACTTTGACCCACTCAATCATTTTAAAATCAAGAACCATTACAATTCGGAATTGACGAGTGAACTGCTAAAATCCAAAACGTAACCCGACCCACACTGGGTTGAAGGTCACAGGGGTGACTAAATGTTCAGCTTGTACTCAGGAAATCTGCCCCCAGTGAACACATTGGAACAGACCTCTGCAACTCCTGCCGTGGTGACTCTGTCCAAGTTAAAAAAAGGACATGTGCACATGCCTTTCCTTAACAAACCTGGCCAAGCCTGCCTCCACCACTAAGAATGCATCACATGGTTTGGCTAGGACTCAATCATATCCGCCCATGCTCCCAGACACGGCCGTCCATTGCAGCCACACACAAATATATGATATGTATATAAGGACTTTTGACCTCTATGGCTGCTGGCACTACCACCTGCTCTACGTAACCAACTGTTGGCCTGATGCAGGCTAGCAGTCCTTGGATATACTTTCCACATTAGTAACAGAAAGAACTGCCTTAAAGGAAGTTGTTGTGCCAGAGCAAATTTGTTAAAAATAACAGTTTATGTGTTAATAAAAAAAAGGACATGCATTATGTGACACCATCAGGGAAAACCCTGGTTGCGCCAATGGTTCAGCAGCCACAGTTTTCTATGAATTTTAGCAACATTTAGGGTCGGCCTACAAAAATACATCATCACTGCACCACTAAATTGGTAAAAAGGATTTCATATTTAAATCCTAGAAGCTTAACTGTTCTTTACTTGTTATATTGCACCACAAGGAGCACTGCAACAACATACATAGGAGTATCAAAGGGGTTATGGTTAGGGGGACCAGGGAGAAGGAATTCATTTCAGAATCCGGTTTATTGCCAGGTACGTTTACACATACAATGAATTAGCTTTGAATTAGTATGGTGCTTAAATATTAAATCATTTTCATCTAAGCTGAGATCCATGGATATAACCTGGGTTGAACAACACGGTATTTATCTAAATGTAAATCTAATTATTTCATCTGCTCCACCATATGATGCTTTAGAATTATTAATGCGAGAAACTAAGGGGTTTATCAAAAACAAATGTAATCAAAATCGAATACATTTTCCCCTTTGATTTTTTTTTATACAAGGTGAGATTTTCAGTCTGCACCTGATAGGGTAGCTCTAAGGGTGAGGTGAGGTTAAGTAAAAAGTAGGTCAAAAATGAGATAGAACATACATTTGTGTACTTAAGATGCAGTTAAGTGAGCAAGATTAAGTTATTCTTAGTTGTACATTCAAGACTGCTTAGACATCAAAGTTCTGAAAGTCAGCTTTCACGAAGTATTGCACCAATATGATCCATTGTTTGAAAAACCAAACAAGCCGTTACATGTCAGAGCATCCTTGAAAGCAGCAACAGGAAGGATTTCTAAAATGCCCCGTCTGTGCCACATGTTGATCTCAAAAGGGAAAGTATTAACAATGTAGATTTGAAGTGAATACAACAGTTATGATACATCAACAATATGGCAATTTAATATGCCATTTAATAATGAGAATAATTAAACTACTGTTACTCCTAATAGAAATTCAAACTTGAACAAAACTTGATACCATTCAAATAATTTACTTCAAAGAAAGCTTTAATTAAAAACAGCAGATCCCAACTTTAAGCACAACTCAAGACGTATTGTGAGCGTTGCCATCAAATTTAATTTGTCCAAACCCTGCTGCTTGCTGTTCATCAAATTTGCTACAAAATAAGTAGGGGGAGACTTGCAGGAAACTTAAAAGTAAAGGAAAAATGTATAGAAACATGTCTGACATCAAATAATAAAACAAAATGGACAGTCCCTGAGCTCCAGAATTAAAATGATATCAATGATTGCTCCAAAGCTCCCAACATAAATCATGGCCACCTTAAGTGTTACAGAAAGGTAAGGATGAGCCTGTACATGTGAAATGGAGGCCAGCACTACAATCACCTTGGGCAAGGTTACTACCATTTCAGCAGTCAAACTAATCTAGAGCTTTTCTTACAGGTCGGACTGTGTTCATTTGTGCTTTTCATGACCTTTAAGTCAAGAATCACACTGTGACCTTGGATAGGGGAGTGGTCAGGCTGTAGTCGGGCTGTATTTACAACGTGCTGAGCACAGGGAACCTAAGCAGCTTGCACACTGTATACAGAACAGTCTCTCTATGCCTTACTGACAACACAACGTTACTCTGTACTAACGGGACATAGCGTCAGAACTAGAAGCCTGGTCGTTCAACAAATGTATCGCCAATAAGGAGAAATATTGGTTAGTAGGCTGATACACACTGTTAAGTTGAACACGTGAAACGTTTTACAAGTGTTTCACACTGTTCACCGAGCAGACACGTTGTCTGGAGTTCCCGGAAACGCATTTGTTAAGGTTGATACTTTATAACCATTATAACACCTGTGTGGGAGCTGCGTGTGAGCCGCGCATGTGCAGATTGCAAACCAGCGCGCTGTGTGATTGTGCATCAACTGCTACAATTTAATTTAACTACCCTTCATGTTAGATAACGTTACAACAACCACAATTTAGCTGACAAATAGCCCAACCCAAATAATTGAATTGCCCTTTACAAGCACATGTCACAGAGAAGATGTGCACCTTAGCCATACCAAGTTGTCTGCTGTTCACGAGGGTCATAATGCAAACTTTTTGCAAAACCATTGCCGCTAGCTACGTGCTAATAATACCCACACAGTGAGTGTGACTAGCAAGAAATAATCCCATTGACGTTGTCTCGTGTGGAAATTAGCTCAATACTATCTTTACAAACTCCGCCGTGTAACGCTACAACAATTTCATCACAACACAGACCAGCTAAAGGCATTAACTCGTAGCGAGTGCATTGACTGCCCTTACGAATCTGCTAGTTTAAGGTTTCATCGCAGTAAGCTTGTGAAGGGTAACGGTGCGTTTTACATGTCAGAAATAAGACTCGGGGCTAGCATGTTCCTCCTATTTCACAAGAGTATGTGCAACTACAGTGCTTTTTGTACTTCAGTTAACATAGCACAACCCTTCAATGAAACTATAAAACGTGGGCGGTATGTTAGCATGCAATGAGAACAATTTATAGAAACTGTAATTTCATTATTGCCGCTCGGTGCCTCATACATGCCGAATTTATCAGGAAACACTGAACAGCCACAGAAATACAAGTCTCAGGTGATAACATTCACATCGTTTTGCCAGTAATGTAAATTGACAGATACATACAGCGGGTTTGGCGTAACATGGTCGGCAATGAAATCCGGTAACAGAGGTGGCTGTGACCTAACGCTAACGTGACACTACTGGGAATAAAGCATGGCTGGCTGGGAGGCCGCAGTGAAGGATACAAAGTGTGAAGTTAGCAGGCTAGCCCCGCACACGGGATACAATATAAAAACGTCTATGGGCATTAACACAAATTAAAATATCGTGGCAGCTTATCGCAAAACCGACGCCTCGTGTTTTAAGCTAGCTTTAGGCCACAAAATAAAGGCAATTCATCACACAGCTTTACAGCAAATGCACCAGTGGGGTCCCAGACTGACGCAGGGTTTAAGGACGCTTCTGGAGTGCTGCTTTCCTGCATGGGCCGCAGACCTTCCCGTTAGCCTATTAGCTGGCCTGGCGAAAAAGACAGCCGACTAACTTACATTCTTACTGCAGACATCCTATAGTCATTCATTACAATGCAAAACACGAGACCTTTTTGTTAGTAAGTGCACAGAGCCCTCATGAGAAAGGGAATTAAGGTAATCTAAGTTACACAACAGGGAAAGAGGCTAGCTTCAGTATGCTGACTATGTTAAAGGAATATGTGTAGGCTAGTTCAATGACATGGGATTACTGCACTCAGTCGGTGACACAGTAAACCCTGGACAGCTTGCAGGGACGCCAACAAATGTTAATGGATGTGGTTTTGTAGCCTTACGAGTTGATTTGAACTAAGTCACGCTGCTCGAACATGGTGCAGATGGCTAAAGGCTTGCATGGTCCTTCACCTACGTTGCATATGCGCTCTTTTTAGTTTACTTACAGTATTTTAAGGTCCTCGGTGCCGCCACGATGAGATCAATATTGATGGTAAGAGTTTTTTAAACGTGTCCCTGTGGAAAGTCAGCCTCTCCTCCCCACGTGTAGACCGACGAGCAGCACCAGTCTAAAAAAAAACAGACTAAACAGCTGATGAAGTCTCGCGATACTCAGCTGTTCAAGCTGTCTTTAGTCTCGCGTGAACTGAGAATGCACCGTTTTCGGACATGCACTCCTGGACGTTATCCGGATGGCCATGTATTTAACATGTTGGTCTCAGGTTTTTATACGCGCTTGGTTAACTTTAACATTTGAGTCACTAGGACAATTTTAAGATGTAGCTGGGAACATTTTTATATTATGTTCGACATTCAACATCAACTTGCAGGCAGCAGCAGCACAAGGTTAAACACACGCACGCACACACGCACGCACGCACACACACACACACGCACGCGCGCACACACACACACACACACACACACACACACACACACACACACACACACACACACACACACACACAGGGAAGGTGTGCCTTCTAATGATTGTAATACTCTTTGTCTCATGCACACAATCAAGATAATAGGTACAAATCTTACGAGATTATTTACGAGATTGATATCGGATTCGGGGAAAAAAATAATATATGGATAGATCTGTATGATAAAATACTAAATTTATGCCACTCCAGATCATCTGTGCAAGCGCGTAGATTTCGATTCCACATTGTGTCGGACACATTTGCAGGGGTCTGGGAGTGGTCCACCAGGACATTTTTAGCGTCACACTTTTCCTGCATTATGGTGTATTCTAATGCAACAATTTATGGTGAAATGTATTTATTTATGCAAAGGATAATATAAAATAAAAAAAAGATGTATGCAGACTTGGATAACACCATAGTTATCTTTGAACAGTTGCCCATTTTGGCATAGGTGTTGATTGTCACAATGATGTTTGCTCTCCAGCCCCTGCAAATCAACATGTGTCCTTGGGCAAGACACTTAGGCCACGTTTACACGGATACGATAACGAAAACGAACCTTAAAGGTGGGGTAGATAAGTTTGAGAAACCGGCTCGAGATACACTTTTTGTTATATTCCATGGAATGCTCTTAACATCCCGATAGCAACGAATATCTTAAGTGCTTTGACAAAAAATCCATAAAAAAATGTCATCTGTGGAAGCCGTAGTACTGTAAAAAGCACGACCAATCATTTTAGCTGGCCCGGCTAAAATAACTGGATGGCCTACCTGCCTGTCAGCCTTCCATCTGTGCACAAACTTATCTCGTGCCCTCATAGGTCATGTGCGCGTTCGTGTGTGTTGGAGGAGGGGCTCTGTAAGGAAGTGGCAGATTTTTTCCGGTTGTGTATTTTCAAATTCTAGCGCACTCGAGCTGGTTTCTCCAAAATTACCTACCCCACCTTTAAGCCCCGGACACACCAAGCCGATTTTGGCCGACGATGGATGTCAGGCCGACGATGAACGTCCTGTCGCCCTACTCACATTGGTGTGTCCCGCACCGTCGTGTCTTTTCGGCCGTGCCGACACCTTTTTGGCTGAAAACCTACCGATTCTACATGTCGAATCGGTAGGCAATCGGCCAAAGGCTGTCGGTCAAATAAATCACTCTGATTGGCTGTTCAGCTAGCGAATCAGTGCATGAGAAGCGAAACGGAAGTGAGGGACCCAAACAAACTATTAAGAAGGCAAATCTGAGATTTCATTTAACTCCAGCTCTCGACACAGGTTCGGGAAAGCCCCATGAGCTCTCATGAATTTTTAATGCTAAATGTATATCATTTTCTCACAGGATATAGAATGAGACAACACAGTTTTTATCCATTGTGTATGAATGCTTCAGCTCTTCAGAACAACATAGTAAGATGTGAGCATGTTCCTAATTGTGTTGGTATGCAGCCTAGGTCTGGTCTGTTTAATAAAGCAAATCTGCCACTTTTATATTGTAGAGTTTGTTCAATTAAAGCAGTCTTTAATTGTTTGTCCTAAACATAGCAATACATGCTTTTGAAATGTAATGTCAAAATAATAGTATAAAGTTTATATTGTGTATCACCTTTAGCTTGAAAATACATACAGTAGATGTGTTTTTTTTAATCTATAAAATAAATAAATAGACAGACACTATCAATCCCAAATTGGGAAATTATTTAACAGCAGCAGTGTGTTCAGGTATTAAAATATTGAAAGTTGGAATAAAGTATAAACTACACAACACAAGTATAATGCACAGCAATCCATAAGATAAGTCCGATATTTTCATGAAAACTCCCCAGGAGGCACCAACACAAACGTGGCCGAGTGGACTCCGGAGTTTGCTGCATGAGTTGCACTGTATCTGTGGTGTAGTGGGCTGTCACTCAAAAACTGAGTAGCCAATGGGGACACACCCCTGACAGTCCCGCCCACCTGGGATGTTTGTGTCAAAATCGAAAACAAAAAATTAGGGAGCGCAAACGAGAAGAGCTGCAGCGAGAGCAAAAGTCTGATCATTGAGAAAGAAGAAACAAGAACTGCAAACAAAAACCTATGTTAAAACAAAGAAAAAATACTTATAGTTTACATGATTACACAAATGATTTGTTTGCAACTTATAGTTTTATTTTTGAAATGTATTTTATTTAGCTTGACTCAGTTTTGCTTTATTCTGAGAAAGTGTTGCTTTATCTTTATGATACAAAACTAATCCCATAGTTCTCCATGTCCACTTGTTGCTGATGGTTGTGGTAGAGGAGCTGTAGATTTTGCACTAACATCTGTAGCATGGTCAGTAGCAGACAGTAGCTACTGACCATGCTACAGCAGTGAGCAGCAGAGGTTTTTGGCGAAAACACATCAGCAATGACGCAGGGGTGAGCAGGAGAGGTGGGGCTATGGCGTCGTCGTTCTCAGGAAATGATCGTATAGGACGTACACACGGAGCCGTTAGGCCCCCCAGAGCGTTTCGTCCGCAGATCCCACCTTGGGACCCGTTACCGTTTGAGGGCTCCGTTTCCGCGGTTCCGTTACGGCCTCGTGTGAACGAACCGTCCATACGATAGAGAACTGTAGCGGATACAACCCGTTTCGTCTCCGTGTAAACGTGGCCTTAACCCCTCATTGCTCCCGCTCGCATGGTATGGTGTGTGTGTGTGTGTGTGTGTGTGTGTGCGCCCCCCCTTCCTATGAGCCCACTGTGCTCTGATTGGTCAGCTTGCCCACTCTGTTCTGATTAGTCCACCACCGTTACAGCTGAACATCAGTGTTTATGTGTTACAATGGCGTTTGTTAGCAACCAGAAAAGGACACCAGCAATAACAAACAGATGGTGTGTGTGTGTGAGAGAGAGAGAGAGTGTGTGTGTGTGTGTGTGTGTGTGTGTGTGTGTGTGTGTGTGTGTGTGTGTGTGTGTGTGTGTGTGTGTGTGTGTGTGTGTGTGTGTGTGTGTGTGTGTGTGTGTGTGTGTGTGAGCGTGTGTGTGTGTGTGTGTGTGTGTGTGTGTGTGTGTGTGTTGACCACACCATTTCTGAAGAAGAAGAGTGAGAGCATTTGCTATTTGTTTTGGTGATAACGGGCCAATGGGGGTGGTTTGGTTCAGACAGTTCATGACTAAAATGTATTTGATTCTTAGAATGCACACAAATTGCATTGTCAATTAATAGAAGTACAAAAATACAACATTTGCCTGATTTAACGTGACATTTGGTGATGAGATGTTCCACTTCTGTAGTTTATCTGAATACAGAAAATAATGAATGGCCATCTTGTTCACACACAGTCAAGTAGGCCACTATCACTTTTAGGCCTAATAGAGAAAAACAACCCAATACAGCAACACTACCAAATAAAAAAAAACACATCCACATGTAAAAAGTAAAACCAAGTGCAGAAAACACAAACAAATGCTGACAATGGTGTTGCAGGACTGATGCGATGTATCCCTCTTTATTCTTAAAAAAACCTGATTGTGTGCGACCATAGTTCTATAGTTTAAAAATGTTTGTTTTGTGTCCACATTAAACAAATCCCAAAGTGAGAATTATTTTCATCATAAAAACGGCGGTTGCTTGCAAGTGACTAAATAAACTGCCAAACATCATCACGCCGACACGAGTCCGCCTTGAGCGTAGCGGTGCTGATGCGTATGTGACCGCTATGTAATTTGTTTATAGCATTATGTTAGCTTTTTCTTTCAGCCCCTATAATTTACGCTTCAAAAAACACAATGTGGTGATATTAGTTGGGGATTATCCTGCTAAGAAAATGTGCTAAATTGATGGCCACAAAGCTTATTCTCTGTAATATACTGAACTCCAATGGGGAAATCCAATTGCTTTTTTCCAAGGGACCCCATCCGGATTGGCTTACAAAAACATGTCATCATTGCACCACTATTCATTTGGAGTCATGTTTCTGTCAATATGTTTTAATTAGGGCTGTCAGTCGATTAAAATATTTAATCGCGATTAATCGCATGATTGTCCATAGTTAATCGCGATTAATCGCAAATTAATCGCACATTTTTTATCTGTTCTAAATGTACCTTAGAGGGATATCTTTCAAGTTTTTAATACTCTTATCAACATATGAGTGGACAAATATGCTTTATATGTTTGTTTATTATCATTTGAACAATGACAAATATTCTCATGAATATTAAACACAACAACCTGAACATTACAAATATTCTCCTCAATTCAACCTGGAACCTCTCTCATACAATAATACTGTGTGTGTGTGTGTGTGTGTGTGTGTGTGTGTGTGTGTGTGTGTGTGTGTGTGTGTGTGTGTGTGTGTGTGTGTGTGTGTGTGTGTGTGTGTGTGTGTGTGAGATCGTTGGAGCTATGTGCAGCTCAAGGCATATATGCTCGAATGGGAGCTGCCTGGACGCTGCAATCATGTTGCGCGCACTATCCGTGCTGAGTGTGCTGACTTTTCGTACAATGTCCCACTGTCTGGCTACCTGCATAAAGTCAAGTGCTCGGCGCAGTTGTCGGCGAAATGTCATTGAAACAGCTCCTTATATCCGTTAGCGCAGCTAGCTAGCACCAGATGCTAACAACAACAACACGTAAGGTGTGCATCGCTCGCGCGAGTCGCGCCACACATACACACTCCCTCCCGGTCCTCCCGATGGCCAGTCCGGGCCTGCCAGTGAGCGTGGAAGTGTGGTCTGCCACAAGCGGGCAGCAGGAGCGGGGCTGTCAGCATCAGCTTGTCGATGGTATTTTACACTCGATGCGCTCTGAAACTACGGCGGCCGAGGACAAAAAATACACATGCGTTAATCGCGTTAAAATAATTAGTGGCGTTAATTTTTTTTTGCGTTAACGCGTTATTAACGCGTTATTAACGCGTTATTAACGCGTTAACTTGACAGCCCTAGTTTTAATATTGAGTTTAATATATTAATATGAGTCTAATATTTTCCCACTTTCCAACATCAACCCCTACCTCTATCCACGCTGACTAACATGCCATCAGAACATTTTAGAAAAATCTTACTATAAATTGCAGTACAATTGCATACAAAATATGTCTATATTCATTCAATTAAAGCTCCCATGTCATGCTTTTCCGGTTATTACCCGTCCCCTTGTGTGTTATGAAGGTTTTTATGCATGTAAACGGTGTGCAGAGTCAAAACCCTCAAAGTACACCCTGTAGCGAGTAAAACTCTAACACAGAAAATACCTCCCCAAAACGCCTCGTTGGAGATACGTCACTGCCCATTTGAGTCTTCCATTTAGTTCCGGGTACGGCCTGATGTCAAGCCGTACCCGGAACGAAATGGACCAATCCCGAAGAGCTATGGCCACACCCAGCGGCGCTGGCCGCACCCTCTGCCAGCCTAACATTTACTGTTGGAAGCTCTGGTTCAGTTCACAATCGATCCAGTCATGCCACTGCCAAGGACCTGTTTCCTGAAATGTGAGGAGAAATCTGAGCTGTTTGTCCTACCGACGGAAGAACCACGACGAAGTCAGTGGTTGAAATTTCTTTTTAACACTGTTCCTTCAGAGGTTTGAAGAACCGGCATTTCACAGACGAAAGCTTCCAAAACATTGCCCAGTTTGAGGCTGGATATGCACAGCTTGTTTGGACCGTTTGGAGCAGGGGAAGATTTGGGTACACAACCTGTAAGTTTGCATTGTTATTTGTGTATTTATCAAACAAGACTGTTTAAATGTGTAAACTGTGTTGGACTGCTAAGCCATTGACACAGTGCTAACTGTGCTAACTAAGTTGCTAGCGTTTCCATATATCAACTCTAATATCAGCAGATGGCCTTGCATACATGTATCTCATAGCAGGAGAATGTCTGCATTCACACACAAAATACCTATTGACAGTATACTCCGGGTGATTTGCCGTGCGGTCAGTCGCGAAACGTAATTACATTATAGCTGGCGTAGCGTGTATGCTACCGATCTAACCGACGGAGCTAGACCTGGGTCGGAAAAACATTTTTGTTATGCTACGTTGCTAGCGTTTAAATATATCAACTACAATGTCAGCAGATGGCCTTACATGTTTGTCATGGCAGGAGAATGTCTGCAGTCACACACACGGAATACTCATACAGTATACTCCGGGTGATTTACCGTACATTGTGACAGTACATGTACATACTGCATGTATAGCTAACGAGGCTAGCTGTATGCTAGCGCAAAACAATGTATTCATGCAAGTTACAATGTATGACTGAACGTAGCAGATTACCCGTATAAGATTGCACTTATAAACACGTTATTGCTAGCCTAATATGAACCACTGGCTTTTGTTCATAGTAGTTTTATTACACTACATTATAGTTGCCGTTCCTCCGAGCTAGCGTTCATATCGTGTTAGCTACCAAAGTAAACAATAAAGCTAGGTTAGCATATTAGCTGGCAAGCTGTTCATTAGATAGATCCACACTCCTACCACAACTACTACTAACAAATCTAAAACAACTAAGTTTCTCTAATATTTTGTGATTTGCATTTGATTTCGTCCAGCCAGATCCTGGCGGACAATACATAACGGGGACGGGACTACTACTACCGAGGCCTCGTCCTAAAAGGCACCGGCTGCGCCCAGGCAAGATACGGGGAGGAATGGATGATATACCGTGTGTATATATGTATATTTATGTTCATTTTGTACATTTCTAAAAATAAAGTTTAATGGAAATACTTAGTAGGCCTATCCTTTCTTCCCTGAATTATTTGCTCCTATAACATATCATTCATATATAGCAAACCATGATTTGATTTCTCATCAAACAGTAGTAGTTTATTACAGGTAAAAATAACTTACTCTTTGTTATGACCGGCTCGTAGGCCACAACGGAAAGACAAGGAGACATACACGAGTTTACAAAACCACGGCACATTTATTGTGGTAAATGCAGAGATAGGTGGTCGAGGGGAGAGAATCGCCGAGCCGCTTTGGAGAGAGACGGGCCGCTGGGCTTAATAGCACCTTGGCTACGGAGGTGTCCGTGATCGCGCTGATTAGCCTCTTCAGCTCCACCCCACCGTAAGACCTGCAACACACCTGCACAAAGGCCCTGGGGCCGTCACACTCTTCTATAACAACAGTTGTAGGTACAGTTCGGTTAGTTAGTGTATAAAATATACGGCTGTACCGACGCCATTACAAGACTGATGTTCCCCGAAAAAAGCGGGCGGAGCCTCTCTGGTGGTTGACTAATCAGAACAGAGTGGCCGAGCTGACCAATCGGAGCATACTAGGCTCACAGGGAGGGGGGGGCAAGAGCTCCAACGAGTCGTTTAGTGGAGAGAGTGAATACTGCTGAATACACATACTTGACAGAGATGCTGTATGAGAAACCAATGTGAGTTTGGAAAATTGCACAGTATAAATCTATTTTAGTATACCTCAACAATGGAATTATGATCAGTAGAAATGGCCATGACATGGGACCTTTAAGCTGGTCTATGCTGGTTTTTTCAGCAGGGCCGGCAAACACGGTTGTTTCTCGAACCCTCCACTGTTGTCTAGCGGGTGTAACTAAAATACAAGATGTCGTTATTTATATATATAAATATATATATCTATATATATAGATATAATAAGTGTCAGTGCGATTTTATTTTGTATTAGCGTGCATTTCCTGTTCGGAAAGTGGTGCTGTACTGAGAGTAAACAATACATTGTAAGGTGTCCCTATTTATATATATATATATATATATATATATATATATATACATATTAGCCGCTTTCACACCAAGTACTTTGCTGTACTTAGTGCCGGCACTTAGTGCCTGGCACTTAGTACCCCCTATGGTACTAAGTACAGGTCGCGTTCACACCGGAATAAGTTCCCTGAGGGAGGATTACGCAAATGAAGCCGCTGACGTCACTTCTTCTTGTTCTGCTTTGGGTTTACTGGCAGGCCACAGGCCGCAAACCACTTCACGGCGTATACTGCCACCCGGAGTCCCCGGCTGGAAGTCCCCGGAGTTGGGGACTGGCTTCAGTAGAAGCTGCTGGGACTCCCAGCTTCTACTGAAGCCTTCTGAGTAAATCGCCAGAACGCCGACACCTCCTCATCACTCCACCGCTCCCATGTTTTTTTTTGTGTTGCCATAAGTTATTCTCTCTCCGTTGGTGCGCGGAGCTAATGCTAATGCTAATAATGCTAATGCCAGCAAATACAATGGCGGCTTCACAAAACTTTTCAGAGTTTCACGGGGCGTGGTTTGCAATTCACCCAGCCAATAGAAATTGGTACTTTTTTCTCCCCAGGATAGTACCACCTCTCTAGCAGGCACTAAAAATGGGGGTACAAGTTCCCGGCACGAAGTACTTTTTTTGGTGTGAACGCAAAATAAGAGGTACTAACGGAACTAAACGGGAAAAGTACGGGGAAAAGTACTCCGGTGTGAACGCGCCTATGTATATAATAAGTGTCAGTACGATTTTATTTTGTATTTGCGTGCATTTCCTGTTCGGAAAAGTGGCGCTGTACTGATAGTGGCGATTTTATTTTGTAATTCTTAGCGTGCACTTCCTTTCCTGAGAGTGGAGGTGTCCTCAGAGTGGAGGTGTCCTGAGGGTGTTTCTCAATCTCGAGTATGCTTGCTTGGTAGCACATGTCTTCCGAGTCACTTGCTTCAGAAGCGAGGCAAGAATACTTCCTAGCATTCGGAAAACGAAGAGTGGAACAGGCTAGCAAGTGTGCAGGTGTGCGTCATATGAGAGGCCCCGCCTTACATTTTCCGCCACAGATTTGGGGAAATTGGTCCGTGCGCAAAGCATTGTGGGGATTTTAAGACCGCAGAGTCTACACATGTGCAGGCTCGAAATTTCTCCAAACGAAGTACGCCGGGCTCGATAGAATTCCAAGTATGCTGGACATTGGAACAGTACTTCGGCGGCACTCGATGACGTAGTATGCTTGAAATAGTGGCTCTGGAGCAGCTTTACTCGAGATTGAGAAACACCCTGAGACTGGCGCCTGCAGGCAGGCTCCCATGAAAGTATCAGGCCCTTGTATACCGGTCTATCTACAGGTCTGCAACAGCAGATGGTGCTGCTTTCCTTCTAGATGATCCTGGATGGGAGGTCAATGAGGATTCATGTAGATGTAGACTAGTGCAAGACATTATTTTAGGATATAACCCAACATTATTGTACAACACATCTTTTGCTAGTTTACATGATTGTAACTCAAATATGAACTGTATAATTAGATTTCTCTTGGACCTTTCCTTAAAATTCCTTACTTGCTCAAACTCATATGCAGTTACATAACAGAGAGCACACTGTCACCGCCAAACAGGAAGTGGGAGAGTTTGCATAACTGGGCTTGTCCCAATGCACAAATTAGCTTGGACGTTCTCAGTGCAGCCAGTCTGATGTGAGCAAGCAGGGCTTTCACAATGTCTACCTTTCTGCTGGTCGTGGGTGCTGTTGTAGGAATCGCCTACCTTTTTCGTCATATTGTGGTGAAGGGAAAGCAGTGCACCAGTAAAGCAAGGCTGGTTGGGAAAACTGTGATTGTGACCGGTAAGAAAAAGGTTTTTGTTTTTATTGGGTTGTTTTTTGATAGAGTGCTACGCTGCACTGTGTGTTATTTGGGTGGCAGAAGACATGTGACTGACTTTTCTAACAAATGATTGTCTGTGTGCACAGCAACAGTTATGCATGGAGAAACTCAGTCAACTTCAGTTGCAGTCAGATTGTGACTGCACAAATACAAGACTTTAAGAAAAATACACAAATAATTTGAAAGTAGGGCTAAAAGGGGGATTAGGGATTGGGGCAAAACAGTACAGCCAGGAAAAGCTTTTTTTCAAAACCTATATTTGACAACAATCTTTTGAACATTTGGTGATTCATCATTTATTTGACTTTTTTCATTACACACAGTCATTTGATCAATTTCTAATGAACAACAAGTACTGTTATGTGCAGTGTGTACAACATGTGCAGCTGAAAAAAATCATTTGTCACATAGGTCTGGATGAACCCGTTTAAGAGTCCCTGGGGCAAAAGTGCAATGGGCCCCTACTGACATCCAGCGTCACTTTAACCATCTATCTGTGCTCTATGTGTGTTCACTGGCATCTACAACAAATAAGCTTGTCAACCCCATGTAAACTAAGAATGTGATATTGGGATTTTTGTGTGCAAATTACTAAACATAATTGCAATTGATTACATTTTCCAAACTATACATATGATGAACCTGGAGCAGTGCCACTTTGGCTAGTTCATAATCCAGCCTTGGCTTCACTCTTTTCTCAAACCCTACTCCGTGACCCGGATACCAAAATAATTATCTTATTGTCAGAGTGCATCTTTTGGAGAGAGAAAACTAATCTGAGTTGGTGTTTGTGGGCTAAACATTTGTTTAAGAAGTGCACCGAACCCTAACTAACTCACACACATTCAGAATAATTTATGCATGGCTCACCCCAGTCTAGCTTTCCTGCACAAGCATTTTGATAATCACCCTAAGGCACAGAGGATCTTTGAATTGGTTCACCCCGAAGATAATTTAGAGTTAATTTTCTTTATTAAAAATATTATTAAAAGAATCATACAACTTGACACATCCAGTGCTTTTCCACCTTCAACACACTGAAAAAATCGGAGGCGTTCCTTCTTCAGATAGCTGGGTATTTCAAGTTCTCCACCCAGTTTAAGAGATGTAAGGGACGCTGCCTGTTTGGACACCAGACGTAGTGTCAAGGACTGCTCACTGCAGTGGGGCTACAACATGGTCAATCCTCAGCTGGAGTCAATCCTCAGCTGTATATGGAATACATATCTCTATAAATATCAGTTTAAGAAGGACACTTTGAGGTATTTCATAATCAATTCACAAGACCTAGAGAGGATGTAGCTGATAATCACTTGGCAAAGGCTTTGTTGACATGGGGTTCATATGATGGAGATGAAAAGGACAACTAAGAAAAAACAAGACATACTTTTTTAATCTCCTAGTTTGACTGTGTTGTTGATTCTACCGTTTAAATACACACAGGATGCTTGAACCAGTCCGTTGTATAAACAGAACTGGATACAGCGTAGGAGGCTGGGCCCCGTTCATACCTATGAAAGTTACTCAGTGGTGCATGATTCTTTATTACTTGCGTCTTCCGTAAGCCCTCGCTCCAATCTGCTAAATTACAGCACTGTTACAGGAGTGTCGTCCTGTCTTGTTTTTGGCGCATTTTACAGACGCCTCTCTCCTAATGTAAGTCAATGAGCAAAAAGACGTGACTGACACGTTGTAGTAGTAAGTTGTAGTACTTAGTCTGGTCACTACGAAAAATGTATTTTTTTTCTTTTTTTTTTTTACAAGTCTTTTTATTTCATTATAGTGTACAATAATCGATGCCATTTCATTTATATTGTAATATCACAGTACACTCACTACACTCCCCCCTCCCTCCCTCCACCCACACATACCCGCCCAGGCAAAACCAAAAAATGCTTATCAATATAACTTAAACAACAGAGCCATGAAAATAAACATAAAAAGGAAAAGGAAAAAATAGAACCAAAAAATTAATAAATAAAAAATAAAATAAAACGAACAAATAATTATACAATACAAATAATTATACAATACAGTGACAATGTAGACAATGACAACACCATAACACGTATTTCCGGCCGTCAGGACAAATATGTCTTTGACGGCCGTCTCACTTCCTGGGGGTTTCGTCCAGGAAAGGCTGATCAGATGTCCATCTTCATAGGATATGATTGACAGAAGAAGAAGAAATGAACATAACTTTTATCATGAGAACAAACTCCATCATCCAAGCACCATGATTTAACATAGAGTATATGTCGATATAGATTCCGTTCATGTTAGAATTAGACCAATAAAACTTGTATGACTCGTTTCTCTCACTTTTCATCTCCAGGCAGCAACACAGGCATTGGGAAGTCTACTGCCATAGATCTGGCAAAAAGAGGAGCCAGAGTGATTCTGGCCTGTCGCAGTGTGCAGAGAGGACAGGCTGCTCTTGAGGAGGTCAAGAGGGTGAGCAGAACTGAATCATGCTCTGTTTCTTCTTCTCAGAGGAGATACTTTGTTTTAAATATGTTGTTGACGAGCGCGTAGGTATCACATGACATGCAGAAGCTTATTGTTGCTTTTAATCATGATGTTAAATGTTTTTTAAAGACTTATATTTGTTACAATACATCTACATTTGTACACTGGTCCACGGTTCATGAAAGACTGTGAATGCTATAGCCATGCTACACAGAGGACAGCGTCTTCCACACTTTCACAGTGCATCTTCATTTTATATTTAACTGCAATATCTCCCAGGAGAGTGGCAGTAACCAGGTGGTGTTCATGCCGTTGGATCTGGGGAGTCTGAAGTCTGTCCGCAGCTTTGCTGAAAACTTCCTGAAGTCTGAACCTAGACTGGACATCCTCATCAACAATGCAGGTTAGATTGATCCTAAACCTGAACAACATCAGGAAACATTTTCAAAAATGTAAAAGATTAATTCAGAATAAATCATTCCCATGTATAATCAATGTTTTTGTTTCAGGTATTTTCGTACAGGGTCGAACAGAGGACGGACTGGGGATGATGTTTGGCGTCAACCACATTGGTCACTTCCTGTTAACCAACCTGTTGCTTGACCGGCTGAAGGAGTGTGGACCCAGCAGGGTGGTCAGCGTGTCGTCTATGGGACACAACTTTGGAAAAATTAATTTTGATTGCCTGAACACCCACAAAGCTCTGGGAATTGGGACCTCATCCATGGAGGTTTTCCAGTTCTACTGCGACAGCAAGCTGTGCAACGTCCTCTTCACCCACGAGCTGGCCAAAAGACTTAAGGGAACCAAGGCCACCTGCTACAGCCTCCACCCAGGTCAGTAGCCAGAGCATTAAACACATGCAAAGAAAAGGGGATTATAGTACACTGGTTCCATAAAAGGAGGAACAATGAGGTGCTTTGTGGTAAGGTTATAGGGATAGCAATGTAGGCCAATTCGCCCACTAGTATTGTTCAGTCTGAAATATCTAAGGAAATATTGATATTGCCATGAAATGTGGACCAGCACTTCATGGTCCCCGGAGGATACATCCTAATGACTTTGGTGATCCTGTTTTTAGGTGCAGGATACTGGAAAGAAAATATTTGTTGCAATTATATTGTGGATAAATATACAATATTTATATGCCAAAGCAACTAATAATAAGTGCAATATGCAATGAAGATAAAAACTCAGAACAGCAAAAAACCTGACATTTTTACAAAAGTTGCTAAAACTCTGCATCATTTTTTTTCTTTCTGCGCAGGAGCTATCAACTCTGAGCTGGCAAGGAACACTAGCTCAGTACTGCAAATGCTCCTGAAGCCAATGACTGCGTTCTTCTGGAAAAACACCGTCCAGGGATCCCAGACCACCCTGCACTGTGCCCTCCAAGAGGGGATTGAACCGCTCAACGGACGTTACTTCTCCAACTGCACCGTGAGAGAATTGTACGCTAAAGCAAAGGATGACGCTGCAGCAAAGAAGCTGTGGGAGCTCAGTGAGAGACTGTGTGGACTCGCATAAAAAGCTTTCCATCTAATGCCTGATGTTGGGTTGGCATTGTTTCTCTTAAACATTAATAATGAAATGGTGACACATACAGGGAAAAGGTTAGCTTGCGCCTTGCGTGTGAGATTAGTCAAGTAATGTAAGGTAAAGGTTGGTCAAGCCCTTCCATGCCATTGGCTTAATGACAAAGAGAACCAGTCTGACTATCTTGGAGTCACCATGACTCAGCAGTTTTTACAGCACTGTGTTTTCATTCTTTGGATTTGTTCGCATACTGTAATCATACGATGTGTACTCACAGATAAGGTTATAAATGCTTCTGCAACAGCTTGTTAAAATGCAATAAATCCCTTTTTTTTCATTTAAATGTATTAAAGTTATTGATGCCCAATGTAAATAAAAATGGGACTGCATGAGATGGTTTACTTACAAGCATTTAATTCTTGCAAGCAATGGTTTCCTACATGAACACATTCCTGGCTCATACCATATACTGTTTTTTTTACATGAAAGATTGATGAGATAAGGTGTGTTTCAAACATCAATCATAATGTATCAATGTAAGACAAATCATCAGATTACAGACAGGCCTGTAGTAAATGAACCCCACCCACACATAACTGAAGCACATAATCATACCTTATTTATTACTTCTGATCATTTATTGTTCCTTACATAACTAATTAGTGTTATAAACTTTTGTTTCAGGAGTTTTAATAAATCATCATATATCCAGCAAAGAAGTGGACTTTATTTGTGTGCATACCCAAATCTCTCTATTTTGTCTTTGTTTATTCCATCTGGCTTGACTTTTACAAGTGTGCCATAACCAAAAACATAAGGAAGATATGAGAAGTATATGAAATGCCTGGATGTTTATGAATACAAGTAGTACAAAATCAATCTCTCCAACAGCTGGGTCATAAAGCTTTGATATGTCCAGCATTGTCTCTAGGGTTAGGGTTAGGGTAATCTTTAGGTTTGCAGTGTTGTCTTCATAAATAACGGCACACAATGCATCCCACATGTGCTTACTGTATGAGTGTAAGCCTGTGAGTGTGTTATGAATCACAGCATCATTAGGGACACAAATCTGTCTTACATTTTGAACATCTCCCCAGAGGATGGTTTTGAGGGACATCACACATTGGAGTCTTGTATTTCCCACTTGACTCTAGTGCTACTTTACTCTCTTTTTTGCAGGGAATGCTGCTCTCCAGTGCCTTCAGATAGGATTAAGTGAGTCTGTGAAACCACAGGATACGACTGATCCTGGTTCAACAACATCAGGCATTGATAAGTGACCTGTGACTTCATTCCATGGCAGCACATGATAAGGATTTAACATCAATAACAAAGTATTTTCCTGGGGCAAAGTTTACAGCAGTACAACATATTTTTAAGTGACTTTTCTCGCAGTGCAGTTGGAATACCAACTGCACTGCGAGAAAAGTGAATGCTAAAGCAAAGAAGGGCACTGCAGCAAAGAAGCTGTGTGAGTTCAGTAAGAGACTTTCCACCGAATGCCTGATATTGGGTTGGCATTGTTTCTCTTTCTCTCATTAATAATGTAATGAAAGGTGACACACAGAGAAAAGGTTATCTGGCAGGTGAGATAAGTCAAGCAATGTAAGGTAAAGGTGTTTCAAGCCCCTCCCTGCCATGGGCTTGACGATAAAGAGAACCAGTCCGACTAGATGATAGACTATCTGTCACAGTCTGCTCCATCATTCACCAGTAGTTTTCCATTCACCTGTCTCACCTGCTAACCACACACACGTTTTTGCTCACTCTCTTTCTCTACTGCACCCATTAGTCATACTGCCATTATATTAAACCGTCACCAGACACACACCCGTTGCCAGATCGTACTTTGCCTTCATGCTAGTCTTTCACGCATTTGATACCAGATTGCCTACCCGGTTCTGACCCTGCTGTCCCCGACCTGCCTGCTCTGCCTGTTCCCTGATCCTGCCTGTCCTTGGACTATTCTGCCTTGCCTGCTGTCTGACCCTGCCTGTACCTACGTTGCCCGCCTCGCCTGCTCCCTGACCCTCTGCCCGGCCCTGACTCACCTTCTGCCTGATGTCCTCTGGTTCATTTGCCTGCACATCATCCGGCTGTTCCTGTTCTGAGGGTATCCCTCTACTCTGGTATTATTACCAATAAAGTATATTACCAATACTCCTTGGTTTCCCGAGTGCTGCATTTGGGTCCTTCATAAGATTGTGACACTATCTTGGAGTTGCCATGACTCCGTATTCATGTTGGTGATACATCATTAGTTTATATCTAAATGATTGATGCCCCATACAAATAAACATGTTACTATAACTGCATGAGATGCCTTCTCCCACAATGCTTCTCCACAGCAAAGCCAGGTTTAAAGGGGGACATCAGCAGTTTCTCCACGAGTTAAAGGTTATCAGTGTTTTAAGTAAACTGGACCCTTTCCAGTGGAACTTAGGTCGGCTACGTATTGATAGGCGTACTCACCCCCTGTGTCGGGGTTTGTTGGAAACTTAAAGTTTGCCATATAAAACATTGATGAATAAAGAGAACTGGATACAGTGTTGGACGCGGGGCCCCAATCATTCCTCTAAAAATAACTCTGGATTCAGCTTTCATCGCAGTTTACTACATTTAGGCCCTAATGGTAAGTAAGTGCTATTCAAGAGATTGTCCTGGCAAGTTTCTTTAAGAGAAAAATGACCAGTTATTCACAGACGTCTCTTTCTTAATTTAAGTCAATGGGAAAAAAGCATTTTAGGGCCCATTGATATCACGGACTGACACGAAAGTTAAGTACTACCAATTGGCCACTACGAAAACGTGCTTCAACACCTGGTTCTCTTCTTGGGGGCTTGCATATGACCCATGCATCAGCATGTCTGGGTCCAAAACAATCTAATTTCCCTGGCTGCCCCTAGATAAGCATAACTATTATCCAGTCATTGCTGTTGGGAAGTAATGTAAAGAGAGGTGAGGACAGAAAATATGTCCTTTATGTGTACATATTATGTTCACCTGTTTCAGCACCTAACATCTTCTTAACACATCTGACTTTTTCACAACAACCTTAGATACAGCATTTGGTACAGTAGAGTGTCCGGGTAGTCCAATTATTTCTGTCGTCCTTTCCTTCATAGGTCCCTCTTGAGCTTGCAAGGATGAATAAATGCTTTATTTGGTGAAAAAAGGAATGTCCAGATGTTATCAACTCGGTAAAAGTTATCAACTGAATGGTGTCATTAATAAACTTGTGTCGTAAACAAGATAAGACAACAAGCTTAGTGATAAGTAAAGACACACCACATAAGAAAGTTGATTGGGTCCTAATGTTTCAAATAAGGTTTGAAAAAGCATGACATCTACAAAAGGACACACTATTTCATGTGCTTTAATTTTGTGGAAAGCTTAGTTGGAAGCATGTGTAAGTAAGGTTAAGGTTAAAATAATGTCAATCCAAATAACCAACACCCACATGAATTCTTCCGGCATGAATGGGTTGTGGTTAAGACCTCCTTTAACTGCCACTCCAATCCTCTTTCTATAACACAATATATGTAGGTCCTATGTGAAAAAGCTAGTAGAGCAAGGAGCCAGAGTCAAGGATAAGAAAACATTGAATTTGTATGCAAGTAATTAAAATTGAAAACAGAAAAACACAACAGAGACAGAATGTTTCAATTAAAGTTCCTAAGATAAGAGGAATACTGATATAATGCACTATTTGGGGGGATTTTCAAGTTTAGCAGGTGTTTTAGTGTTGTAAAAGGTTTATAGTCAAGCTGTCTTTAAGAATGTAAATGTTACTTTGAATGCACATGGTGACATCTGCTGGTTCAGAAACGCTAAACAAGAAAACCAAACCGGATACTGTTTGTAGAACACTTGTTCTACAAGAAGGTTTGTAGAAGGTTTTTCCTTCAAAGTAAATTATTCTTGTGATTTCTGAAACCAAAATCACACTTAAAATAATCAAATCCAGTCATTTTTTGTCAAAAGTGCTGTCTTTTGGCATTACTATTTTTAAAATGATGTCGGTATATTGCACTTAGCGAATGATTATCGTTTTGTTTGGCCATATACACTTTATTTTGAAAGAGTACAGCGTGTTGTTGCCAGCGCCGGTTGTTGCCATAGACAGTGTTGTTGCTAGCCGCGTGCCGTGCAGCGATGTCGGTGCTGCTCTGCTTCGCGGCGGGAGCGCTCTGCCTTTACCTAATATTGTATTACAGTGTGTTCAAAGCAGCAAGGTACTGCAGCTCAGTGAAGCTGAGGGGGAAGACGGCCATTGTTACAGGTAAAGAGCCTCACTCTTCAGCTACTGCTAACATGTAGTTCGGTTACTCTCAGCTCATGTAAACAGCAGGATGGTCTGCAACTGTACTGAAGCTGCTGCTGAGGACCGTTGTGGCTTAACAAATACAAATGCATATAAACCATCTTTTGAATCACTATTTTCAAAAGCTAACAATCACCTCACACTAACCAAATACCCTATAACTAATATAACCTTATCCATTAAGTTGTCCCAAAAGATCAATTTCATCACTCAACATTGGTTTAAAAAAAAGGCAAGATATAAACACATTTCATGGGAAGATAATGGAACTTGAAACGCATGTAAAAATAGAATAACTTCCCCACCCACATACTGTATTCAAGCTTTTACAGTTTTGGTCAACAACTGCTGCCCTAGGCTCTTTTTAAAGACAGACACAGACAAATACTATTTTACCTCCAAAGCTCAAACTAGATTTTTTCAAGTGTGTTGAGGGTCAACCACCTGGGTCACTTCCTGCTCACCAACCTTCTCCTGGAGCGCCTCCAGAAGTGCGGTCCTAGGTGCTTGCCCCACGGAAACGCATACGGCAAAACGCATAGGATTAACGCAATCGCAATCGCAAAAAAGCTTCCGTCCACACGCAATATACACCGGATAGTGTCTGTTCACATGAGACAGCTCCGTTTAGCTCCAACCGCTGGAAAAAGCTGCAGTACATATGCCGAGCCTGTACGTGGCGCTGTAACTTCCTCCACAAAACCAGCGAAGAAGCATTGTTGCCCTTCTGTTTATTCACCGTGGTGGGGGCCGAGGGAACCGGGCAGAGTTTTTCGCCGGTCAACGTGTGTAAAAGTTTAAATCTTCCGGACAAAATTATAAAAGTGCCGGTCAAAGGTATTCTTTGTTATTTATTAAGCTTTAAAACAAATGAATGACGACTATATATGATAATAAAATCCACGGAGCCTGTCCTCTCTTTTTCCTCTCTTCTGACAGGTCAGTGTCTGTCTCATGCAGCAGCTGATCCTGTAATGAGTGACCCGGCCGACAGTAACAAATAAACATATTTATAACTAGTTTAGGTAGTTTGAGAGGTAGGCTAATTAAAATAGCTAAGGGTGATGATCTGACTTGAAGTGTGTGTTTTGCTCCCGCTGCATCACAGCAGGTGGAGCTGCGTGTCTCCGTCCTGTCAGATTAGACTTCACTCGCGTTTATGTCCATATCGAGATAAAGATAAATAATCTGAATTCAGTGTGCAGTTTACTTTTGCGGGGGTGAGCAGCAGAGGTGGGGGGAGGCAGGACTATTGCGTCATCATCATTATCACAAAATGATCGTATAGAGGCGATCACACGGAGCCGTATGACCCCTAGTCGTGTGGTCACCGTGGCGTCCATTGGGCACCGTCTAGGCAAAGCTCACTTTCCCCTTATGACCTCAAGACTTGGTGTCTGGTCAGTCTACCTGGCGCAACCTCCAAGCCTACTGTGACAGCAAGCTGTGTAATGTGCTCTTCACCAGGGAGCTGGCCCCACCCACATACTGTATTCAAGCTTTTACAGTTTTGGTCAACAACTGCTGCCTTAGGCTCTTTTTAAAGACAGACACAGACAAATACTATTTTACCTTCAAAGCTCAAACTAGATTTTTTCAAGTGTGTGTGTTATTGTGGATTATTAAGCCTACCTACATCTATTTTCACACATTTGAACATAGCCTACTGCCCTCATTTATAATGGAAATGTAGGTTTACCTCTGAAATGAAGTACGAGTCTAACCATACTACAAGATGTATACAAAATGTATATTGGAATATGAGTTGAGTACTAAATTACTACTACAGTAGTACAATAAGAACACACAATTCTTAACTCTTGATTTAACTTAAATAGCTGACTTTGTTTTGACAATTCTTTAATATCAATCCCAAATATATGAATATTATTGGTCTAATCTTGTCCTTTAAACTGTGTACTTGCGGGCAGCATTAAACGATGGTTAGGTGTCATTGAGTTCAGCTCCTTGTCGTCAGTGTTTTGTTGCTTGTGGTTTTCCTGCACAGGATCCAACACTGGCATTGGCAAGTCCACAGCTCTGGACCTGGCAAAGAGAGGAGCAAGGGTGATAATCGCCTGTCGCAACAAGGACAAAGCTGAGGCTGCTGCCTTCGACATCCGTACAGTAAGTCCTTCTGAAGCTCTAGGCTAAAGTAGACACAAGACGCTGCACCCAATCCATACATAGCACTGATAATTCCAGCTGTTGGTATATCAAACTAAAAGTGTCTCTTAACTGAAAACAAAAACCTTCAAAAAAGTTGGATTTATTGTTCTTTAAGACTAGATACGTTTTAGGTAGTTGTCCCTAATAAACTGGCGGCTGAGTGAGAAAAATAATCACCAGACCTTTGTTAGCTCACAGGTAGACTTACTCATAGCCCTCGCACATTTGTAATAATGTGGAAGTAAGACACACTTTGACCACATCACTGTATAATGACACAAGCATTTAGAAAGTCCAGCCTGATTCCAGGAAACATTCTAGCATATTCAAGTTTATTTTCACATGCAGAAAATGTATGCAGGACAAGCATTTTTCCTCAATTCAGATGGATATGTGTAATAACGTCTGCAGGAGAGTGGGAACAATCAGGTGGTGTTCATGAAGTTGGATCTGGGGAGTCTCGAGTCTGTTCGCAGCTTTGTTAAAACCTTCCTGGAGACGGAACCCCGACTGGACATCCTCATCAACAACTCAGGTGAGGATGGTCGAATTGGAAATCCTTACCAAAGAGCTGTAAAGTCGAAGTACACTGATACCCCTTTTCCACTGAAATTAGTTTTGCTTAAAGGTGGGGTAGGTAATTTTGGAGAAACCAGCTCGAGATCGCTAGAATTTGAAAATACACAGCCGGAAAAAATCTGCCACTTCCTTACAGAGCCCCTCCTCCAACACACACGAACGCGCACATGACCAATGAGGGCACGAGATAAGTTTGTGCACAGATGGAAGGCTGACAGGCAGGTAGGCCATCCAGTTATTTTAGCCGGGCCGGCTAAAATGATTGGTCGTGCTTTTTACAGTACTACGGCTTCCACAGATGACATTTTTTTATGGATTTTTTGTCAATGCACTTAAGATATTCATTGCTATCGGGATGTTAAGAGCATTCCATGGAATATAACAAAAAGTGTATCTCGAGCCGGTTTCTCAAACTTACCTACCCCACCTTTAAGCGCTTACTGGGGCTATTTTGGTTTTGCAGTTGGTTCAACTCGCGTAACATTAACTGGACCCACGTATAGCATATCGATTCTTAACCATAAATGCTTTAAATGAGTAGGCACTTGTTGCTGAAACAGGATAGCAAACGGGTTGTAATTCAAACTATCGTCACAAACTATAGGGCCTGGTTAATGTGGTGCCAAAACACAAAAAACTTGTTCGCAATTGTGCACTGTCTTCACATTGGTCTTGGAAAATGGGTATAAGTAAAAGAAGCGCTGTGTTTCAGGTGTGGTGGGCCACGGACATACAGATGATGGTTTTGACTTGGCGTTTGGGGTCAACCACCTGGGTCACTTCCTGCTCACCAACCTTCTCCTGGAGCGCCTCCAGAAGTGCGGTCCTAGTCGTGTGGTCACCGTGGCGTCCATTGGGCACCATCTAGGCAAAGCTCACTTTCCCCTGATGACCTCTAAGAAAGACTTGGTGTCTGGTCAGTCTACCTGGCGCAACCTCCAAGCCTACTGCGACAGCAAGCTGTGTAATGTGCTCTTCACGAGGGAGCTGGCCAACAGGCTCGAGGGCACCAGTGTCTCCTGCTTCTGCCTCCACCCAGGTGAGTGCCTTATGCACAGTTCCTGTAGGAATGTCAGGCAAGCTAACATATTCTCTGGCAGCCATTTTCAGATGGAAAGCATTATAATTTTCACTTGTATATTTCCGTCTCTAACCTGACAATAAGGTTTTACTAACAGGAAGTGACAGAAAGCTGATGAATGCCAATCAGATTTATCGAGGAAATCTGGAAATAATGTTGGTGAAAGCTGTTTTGGACTGGAATATGTAAAATTTCTGTGTTCATTTATGTATTGCAATTATTGGGTTAAGGATTGGGTCATTAGACATACAATGGCATGGTTAGGGTTAGGGTTAGGGTTATGATCAGAATCAGAAACAGGTTTATTACCAGGAGACTGTCAAACTGTTAAGACTGTTAAACAATTGAACTGCTGAAACAATTTCAAAACATTCATCTGCTACTCAGTAATATATATCTAATATCTAATATATATCATTCCAATAACTTGTATATAGACTCGTACTGCATTATTCCACATACTCACTTTATTTTATAACTATTTTTCTTTTTGTCTTACTCTTACTATCTGTATTATTATTATGTTGCATTGTTGGAGAAGCCTGTGACATAAGATTTTCAACAACATAATTACTCTGTAGCTATGTCAGTTTGACAATAAAGAACCTTGAACCTTGAACCTTGAGGTAGGTTTACACGTACGAGGAATTTGACTAGGTGTCGTGGTGCATACAAACAAGAATTAAAAACACAGATAGAGTATATTTTATTTTAAATAATTAAAAATATAGTAAAATATAACAGTATTTACATTGGAATGGAATAGAAGGAATAAAATATGGAATAAAAATCAGCAGTAATACAACATATTGTTGTGCATTGATGGGAATACTTTGGAATTTCCTGGACTTATGCATGAATTGGTCATTCACTGATCTGATATCGTTCAAGTCACAACTATAGACAAACACAATGCGCTTAAACTAATAACACACAAATATTTATAATCTTTCATGTCTTTATTTAATCCACCCATTAAACATTAGCACCTGCTTCAGCTCAGTCATATTCTCAGGATGTCTGGTGTGAACAGCTCTCCCAAGGTTATTCCTCAGCTTCTCAATTGGGATAAGGTCTGGTCTCTGACTGAACCACTCTAAAAGGCAGATATTCTTTTCACTAAGCCATTCTGTATTACATTTACTGTGAAGTTAAGGGCCATTGTCCTTCTGCACCACTTAACTACTGCTGAGCTTCAGCTGGCTGACATCCACTCTGACATGATGCTGTAGGATACTCAGTAAGGAAATCTCATTTATATCTGTCATATCATATATCGGGCAGAACACTAAGTATATAGGCAGAGGACTCTTTTATTTATCTGTGGCTGTCTTGATAATATAGCAGCTGTTGTTTACACTTGCTGTATTTCTGACCTGCTGTATGGCTGCTTTAGATTATTGTACTATGTCACAAGAGTATCCTAGTGCAGGTCTACTGAGAGAATATAGACTACCTGTAAACAAGGCTGTTGTCCAGTAATCATTCAGCACTTCCTGCGAAGCTTATACGTTTCATCATTTTCTTCTTCTAGGATATATCAACACAGAGCTGAGTCGAAGCATTAGCCTATGGCAGCAGCTCCTCCTGATTCCCTTTGCCAAGCTCTTCTTCCAGGATCCTGAAGGGGGGGCCCAGACCACCCTGCATTGTGCCCTGCAAGAGGGCATTGAGCCTTTTAGCGGACGCTACTTCTCTAACTGTGCGCTGCAACAAGTGGGAGCCAAAGGACGGGATGATGCCCTGGCAAAGAAGCTGTGGGAAGTGAGTGAGAGGTTAACCAGTTTATAATGACGGACCAAATCCTGATCCAGCATGTTCGCACGGTGCCTTATCAGCCACTTTAAGGGCTGGTTTCTTACTGTCTATTTTTTTTTTTATATTATCTGCATAACCTACACTTGTGCCTATTGTTATCCACAAAGAGATGTCATGACGGCTGTAAGGTTACTCTGGCCAGGATGAAGAAGAAAACAGCTTTTAATAAATCTTCAAAACAAATAAAAAGGTGCTGGTAGCTTGCTTTATGTCTTGCTTTTTAGCTAAATATACACAAGCACAGTTCAATCATTTCAGTATTTTAAATGGATTTGTTCATTTACAAATAGGATTTATTTTACATAACCACTGCAGTATTGTAGGAGAGCATGATGTTAGGGAAGTAAGGAAGAGTTCAGTTGTTATACCCAGCATACAAGAACATTAGTATATTCGACATTCAAGTTACTTGAGTACATTTTTTACGTTCCCCTATATTCCAGGGGAAAAGGAAAGTAACAAAATATTAAAGGGGCCCTACGATACTCATTTTCAAGTTCATGTTTTTATTTAGTGCCTCTATGCCTCTGACATTTCCATGCTTTAATGTTCAAAAAGCTCTCACCCTCTGTCTGAAACCAGAGCCCAGTCTGCTCTGATTGGTTAGCTGGCCGGCTCTATTTTGATTGGTCAACTGCTTAGAGATGTCCCGCCCCTTAGCCTATCGCACACAAAATAAAAAAATTGTTTTTTCAGTAAAGAAACAGTAACGTTTCCAAAAATATTCATATGAACCGGAAAAGAAAAAAAAAATCCAATTCAACAAGGTGTATTCTTCAACGCCAGTGTGTAATAAAATACTGCATTGGTTTTGGCATCACTAGATCACATGACATCGAAGCTGTTAATAATAATAAAATAACGAATACATTAGAATACACAGCAGAAAATAAAAAAAATATGAATAGAAAATAAAACACTAAATAAAAAAAGAAATGTGTGTTAAAATGATCTTTACATTAATGCATCAATATTCATAATCAAGTCATTTCAAATTCTGAAATGGACCATAACGCTTTATGAGCACTTACTTAAAGGTGGGGTAGGTAATTTCCGAGAAACCAGCTCGAGTGCGCTGGAATTTGAAAATACACAACCGGAGAAAATCTGCCACTTCCTTACAGAGCCCCTCCTCCAACACACATGAACGCGCACATGACCAATCAGGTCACGAGATAAGTCTGTGCACAGATGGAAGGCTGACAGGCAGGTAGGCCATCCAGTTATTTTAGCCGGCCCGGCTAAAATGATTGGTCGTGCTTTTTACAGTACTACAGCTTCCACAGATGACATTTTTTAATGGATTTGTTGTCAAAGCACTTAAGATATTCATTGCTATCGGGATGTTAAGAGCATTCCATGGAATATAACAAAAAGTGTATCTCGAGCCGGTTTCTCAAACTTACCTACCCCACCTTTAAGTATATTTTGCTGCCAATACTTTTGTACCTTTACTTCACTAAGGTTTGAATGCAGGATTTTTACTTCTAACAGAGTATTTTTACAATTAAGTATTACTACTTTTAACTAAGTATAAAACAGAGTACTTCTTCTATGACTGTGGTTAATGATCTTAATTGCTTCGTTGAGTTTATAGGCCTTTTAAGGTTGTATAACTACAACAATATTCATTCCACCTTAAAAAACTCAAAAATAAAATGCCCGCTGATCTAAGCAAATCTTCTGCAGGGGAAATACACAGCTGTGAATACCTTTATACCACATAAACAGTGTAATAATGAATAGATGAATTGTTACATTTACAAAATGTCAGAAACTGGTAAAATAAATATATTTTTAGTGTTAAGGATTGGATCAGCAACAGTGGAGAAGCCAGCAAGAGTGAACTAGTTACACAAATAATAATGATCCAACAGCACATTGTTGCACTCTTTTCATTTCAATTATTTATTCACAAGTAGTAAAGTAGGTCCAAGTCCAGGCAAGAACAATGTTTCATACATTTATTTCCATGAGCTAATATCATCAAAAGTACAATGAAATCTGGTGTCACCTTTTCTTTTCCAGCAGCTTTTCCATGGCTTTCCTTGGTCACCCTGGCAAAAAACCATATGCCTATACTGGTGCGCTAATCCCATCACTACCTGTCTCCAATATATACATAATCACCCAGTGCCCAAAACTGCCTTCAAAGTAAAAACATTAAAATTAATTTAATACTAAAAATACTAAAATATTTGCAATAAATAAGGATCAATACAATCAAAACAATCAATATAAACAGAAACAACAAGAACATTTATTTCAAGAGTTATTACAAAATACAAATAATAAATGTCTTACCAATAAATAGTTCCAACACATGGGCACACATTCAAGGGCCTGAGTTGTACTGCAAATCGTTTTTCAAAGTCAGGGTTAGGGTTAGGGTTATGTTACTGACCCACAGACTGTACAGTAATCTTACCTCATAAGATAACATGGAGGCCGTCAGTGTCCCGTGTGTCCACTGGGGGGCAGTAGCGTCACACAGCTCCATCTAAAGAAAGCGTCTCTTTGTGCTGAGCTTGGCCGTTGTTGCTTGGAGCAAGGTTGTTGAGGACCTTAACCCAGCAGACCTATGGATTGTGTTCATTATGAGCGCTGATTATTAACACGGGTAGGCATGGAGCGGGGTCAGTTGTGTGTGTTAAGAGAGGTGCTCTTGTAATTACTCAGTAGGACATTGTTCTGCGCAGCCTTCTCCTTTAACCTCAGTGTTGGTGGGGAGGAACACTCTTCCACGATCGATTCCTATCTTCTCCCGCCTTCAACTATCCCTCTGTCCCCTTCCTTCTTCACCCCACTCACTTTGCTGCATGCTGAAAGGACCGGCGGCCAACTTGAATTATCATTGAGAAACAGCTTAACTGACACAATTCTTCTTTATCCAGTTACAGTTCAGCACTCCTTCACACCTGTCACAGAGTGGAGGTCATCAAACTCAACATCAACCCAACAAGAATACAACACAAATAGTTCAGAAAAGAGCAACTGAAAACAGATGAAAACAGACAAAAGATATTGGTTCTAGAAAGAAATTACAATTTTCCTTTCGATTTGAAATGTCACTTTTCAATGCTGTTGGCTCTGCAAACTGGATTTCATTCACCTCTACTCCATTGGGATCCAAGCCAAATTCTCTAAGAGATGATGAAACTAAATTGTAGATTTACATGGCAGTGCAGGAGGGTTGCTGTGGTGCAGCTGGTATAGCAATGTGTCCCGAAGGCGTAGGGATGGAGGTATGCAGTGGAAAAATGCTGCTCCAAAATCAAGTAAAAGAATAATAAAAACAAGGTGTATTGGCTTGTAATAAGTAAAAAAAATCTGCCAATAGAACAAGCTTTATAATATTTCTCTGAAGATTTCTTCTAAGATGGGATATTTAGAAATGAGTTTAGCTGGGACAACTTATTTCGAACTTCATTTTACCAGAATCGGGAAATGTTGTGTTAAACAAAATTGTGTTTCTGAGACATTGTCTAAAAACAAGACCCTATATCTCACTGCATTGTTACTTCTTAAGTTATTTAGTCATCAATTGTAAAGAAACATTCTGACTAGAAATGAGACAAATATACTTGACAAGATTTCAAGGTTTTACAGTGACCCTTGGTTCCTCCTGTCCACATGTCACTCTGAACCCTCCGACACAATGAGCTTCCTCCTAATTTAGCAAAGCTTCAGTTCTTTGAGGTAGCTCTTTCCTTACAGTTGTATTGTTGCTGTTTTTTGGGTCTTTACCTGGAGGAGACCCTTTCCTGAACATCAACATCTGCCTCATTTCATTGATGATGTTTGAGCCTTATTTTTCTTCTATAGTTTCAAAGCTCTCCTTGTAGTTGTCCTTGTATGACGTGGTTGTTGGTGGAGATGATAGCTTCAGGTTGGAAGCCTGTAGTAGACACTCTTTCCATTATGACTCTGCATTTAAATAGTTCATAGAATGGTGCAGTGATGGCGTATTTTTGTTGACCGACCCGGAAGTTAGCTTCACAAGGGCTCCATCGACTAAAGCTTAATTTCTTTCTCCCGCTGGATTTCGGAATACTGCAGAAAATAACTTATTTGGAAAACACACTTTATGATACTTACATGTTTTGTTCAGTCAGATAGTCTACACATATTACCACCAGTTGTATGATGATCGAGGCGTAAATGCAATCCACAGAAGTAAAAGCGCTAATGTAATGCTGCAAATAAACTACATCATGCTCGCTAAGCTAAAGGCGGCTAATGTACGACCTGACGTACAGTAGTCTCATTTGGTGACTTATTCGCCATTTTTTAATGGCAGCATAGAAGCATTGGACTTCAAGATTGGGGTATGTACTGACGTATTTTCTGTCATAGAACAAAACATGAGAATCTCGCAAGCTTGTGTTAAAAACAGACCTTATTTCAGGCCTCCTACCAAAAATACTTTCAGAAAACTCAAGACAAGGGAATCGGATGTGCTAAAATGCAAAAAAACTCCAGGTTTGAGAACTCTTTCCTGTACCACTCTAAAGGTTGCTCTCATTACGAACGGAATTTGGTGGAAGTCAATGGGCACCCAGTACCTTCTAGACTTCTAGCGTGTACAATGTACAAACATCAAGCCTCATGAGCTTTATTTGCAGCTAGTCAAGGTGCATGGGAAGTTTTTTTAAATGTGAAACACCAGACTAATGTGTTACCGTGAAATACAACCATGCACATATAACATGTTTGTATTCATTCTACATCCTCCTCCACTACTGAACTGGCAGTCTCTATTCTCCATATAGTTAGTAAAACATGACATAGTTCAATAAGGAAATTAAATGTGTCTCCAAAGTGTCTCATTTATTTTAGATATACGTTATTTATCCCAAATCGTAATTGTTTCTGTCACAGCAGCATGTTAACAGGCATTTCACATGAGTAAAACATATATATTGAAATGAAATATGATGGAATAGAAAAATAAACACATCAATCAAATAAACATAAACAGTAAATAGTAAGTATATCAATAGAGTGTCTAAACAATTCAAAAATATTGTTCTTATAAAGTATAAGTCACAATACTCCAAAATAGACTACTATAAAAACAGACGTATATAAACATAGGATATTATAAAAATTATAAAAGTGTGCAAAATAGCTGCATCTCTTAATTTAGAAAGACTTGCTGGCGCTGTTACTTGATATAGGAAATAGCATTCTGGTGGACTAATACTTA